AAATATTTTTACTTATATTAAATATTTTTATATTTCTAACATTATTTTTACTTCTATTATTCCTATTTTTAAAAATCAGAATATTATTTTTATTAATATTCTAAATATCTTTATTTTTAAATAAACTACTAAATATTTAAAATATCCGTCTGTTTAAGTTGTTGTTCCGTCTTTATTCAAAAATATTAATATTAATAAACTTAAAATAAAAAAATACTTTAGTTATTCTTATAAAAATACTAAGAAAATTATTATTAATAGAGTGGATTTGGGTTAAAAAACAGGTTAAAAACTGAGCTTCTAAAACTTGTATTTGGCCTTAAGGAAAATAAGATTTAAATGTTTTCTGTCTGAAATTGAATATATATATTATATTAGTTTATATATTACAAATATATTATACTCTAATACAACTATTCTGTATTTAATACATGACTAATCATTTTTAGTATGATTTTATTTAGTAATTTTTAACCGTTAAGTAATTTATTGTAATATAGGTGTATTATGTAATAAATATAATTTAATTATAAATATCAAAATTAGATTACAGTTTTTGCCTAAAACATTAAGATAAAGAATTTATATATCTTATAAAATACTTTAACCGTTGACTGTATTTTTTAACCGTTACCATTAACCTGACCTGGCCGTTAGCCACTCTAATTATTAATAAAAATATTTAAGTTATTTAAAACTTTTTTTTTATTTTAATATTAATAAAACTTTAAAGTTCGCCGCCGCCTATGTAAAAAAGATCTATAACTTTTATTATAAGTTTTTTAAGTTTAAGTGTAATAACTTTATATATTTATATTTATATAAAAAATATAATATTCCTACTATTTAAAATATTAGTATTAAGTCTAAGCTCTTATAGTAATATACTAATCTATTCTATATTATTATTTTTGTTAATTACTATATCTATAAGCTCGACCTTTTCGATTTTTAGTATATATATTTTATTATTTTAATTATATATTTTAAATTTATATTTTTTAATAAGAATTTAGTTAATTATTTTAATATATTTTTTTTAAATATTACCGACGAATACTTCTTCAAATAGTTAGACTATTAGAAAGTTACTACTGTTTTTAATAAATATATATTTTTATATAACCGCTACTATATTTTTATAATATAATATTTTGTATATAAAAAAATATAATTTTTAATTTAATAAATAAATCTGCGAAAAGAATATTATTATAAATAAACTAATTTATAATTATAAATAGTATATTAATATATCTCGTCCTATTAAATAAATTAATCTATCTAGTATTTAATATTATATATATTTTTATTTTCTCTTTTTTTTATTTTTTTATTTTTTTAATATTATTTTTATTATTCTTTTTTATATTTCTATTTACTATATTATATATTCTAGTATTATATCTTTTAACCGTTCGTCTTTTTATTCTTAATAATATATTTCTATATATATAAATTAATATAAATATTATTTTTAAAATAATAGGATCTATAATATTTTTATATTTATTAAAGTTTTATTATATATTTAGCTGCTGTTTTTTATATTGTTTACAGCTATTCTTCGGTTTTCTAAACTTTTCTTTTTTTGTCTTCTGGATAAATAATCATATTAATCATATCATATCTACACCTATTGTATCCTGCCATAAAAACTTTTTATAATATACTACTTCTAAACTAATAAATATATTAAAAATATAAATTAATATTTAATTTAAAAACTAATTTTATTTATTAATAATTTTTATAATAACTAATTAAAATTATTATTATTAATAAATTTTATTATAATATATTTATTATATATATTTTTTAGAATATTTTTATTTTAAATAAAATATAAGTACCAGCTCCGACTATTTTTTAAGTAAAATTTTTTAATAAATATTAGATTAAAAAATATAAATATGTCAGGGCCGATCAAATCAGTTTATTCTCTACTAATCTGATGCTAATAATATAAAATTTCGAATATAAGAAAAAAAAATAAAAATAAGAAAATATATATCCGCGGCTTATCTATTATAAAGTAATCAGATAGATAAATAAAATAAATATAATAAAAATATTAAATAGAATTATTAAAATAGATTAGATTAGTAATATCTATTAAACTATTCTTATATTACTTTTTAAATTAGTTTTAACTATTTATAGATAAGAAATATTTTTATAATCTTTTTTAAAATTACTTTTATAATATAACTATAAACTATATATATTCCGTAGAATCTAAGATAAAGTTATTATTAAAATAATTAAAATTAAAAACTTTTTTATAGCTGTTTTTAGTTAGATTTATAAATATTTTAAAAAGCCGGAGCTTTTTAAATAAGAATTATAAAATTTTTTTAAAAATATAAAAATATTTTTTAAATTTTCTACTAGATATTAGAATAGGTCTACTTTATCTAAATTTTCTTATTTAATATAATATATTAAATATTTTTAATATATATAAAAATTAAAAAAATTTTTTATTTTATATTTTATATTTTTATTTATATTTATCGGCTCTGTCTGGTTTTAGATTTAACCTAATATTAATTTACTTATTAATACAGGTTAAAGTTTCTTAGAATAAAATATTAATTATATTCTAATATTAATAAATAATTATACTCAGAATATATTTTTTTTTAATTTTAGAACTTTATACAGACTGTATTATTTATTAGTTAATTTTTTAAACAGTTATTTCTAATTTTAGTTAAAATAATTAATATAAACTTTATTTTTAGCTTAAATTAAAGTTTTTTTTAATAATAGTTAATCTATATAGTTTATTATTTCTAAAAATTAGTAATATTAGTTTTAATAAATTTCTAAATATTTTTAAAATAAATTATAATATTATAGATATAAATAATATTTATATTTTTTTATTTAATATCTATTAAGAATTTCTAGTTAAAAAATAGTCAGAGCTAGTATTTATAGTTTATTTAAAATAAGAATATTCTAAGAAATATATATAGTAGATATATTATAACAAAGTCTATTATTAATAGTAGTTCTAACTAATTATTATAAAAATTATTAATAAATAAAATTAATTTTTAGATTAAATACTAGTTTATATTTTTAGTCTGTTTATTAATTTAAAAATAGTATACTATAAAAAGTTTTAACTTAATTTAAAAAATATAGTAGAATTTTTATTAAAATTTTAAAATAAATTAAAGTTTTTTATCGGAAATAATAGTATTTAGAAATCTAATCTAAATATAAATAAATTTAATAAACAACCGGACTATATCTTATGTGGTAATATTCTTAATATATAAAATTAATACTACTTACTTAAAAAATTAATTTATTATTATATGTATAGTATTATATTTTTATATATTTTTTAATAATATATAAAAATCTATAAACATATACTACTACAACTAATTAGTAATAGAAAAAGATTAGAATAATTTCTACAGTAGTTTTTTTTAATAATTCTTATATTTATAGATTATATAACTATTTAGATATTAACAAATATTCTTATTCTAGATATTTTAATAATAATATTATTTAATTAATTTAAAAATTTTTATTTATTTTAGATATATAGTAGATAACTAGTAGTATATCTTATCTAATAGTCTTATATATAGATTTTTTTCAGCGGATATTATTAGATATTTTTTATATAATAATAATTTATTTTAAAAAAAATATAGACTACTTAGATTAGTAGTATTTTTTTTAATTAAGTTTAGTCGACTTGTAGTTAATATAAAGAATTTAATTAATTAATAATAGTTTTTTATTTAATAAAATTAAAATAAATAATTATAGTATTTATAATATCTCCGAATCTATTTATTTAGATTATAATATAATTTAATTATATTTTTAGTTAGACAGTTTAAAAATCTTTTTTTATTAAATAAATATATTAGTTAAAGTATTAGCTTTTTTAGATTTATATTAAATTCTAAAATAATATTTAAACAAAAATTCGGTTTATTTTATTTATTATATATTTAGTTTTTTTAAAGTTATAAAGTATTCTAGTACTTAATAATCTATAAATATTTTAAAAAAAATTTTATATTAAAAATCTTTTAATTCTACTTTTTAAGTTTTTATAGATTTTATAATAGTAAGTATTTTTTTATTATAAATATTATAGTTCTTTTTAGTAGATATTATAATTTTTCAAAAAAATAAGACTAAATATTATTAATTATTAATATATTAGATAAAAACTTCTATAATAGTTCTGTCTGCGGTATTAGTTTCTAATCTAATAAAAAAATAGATTATAATAAATTAATATTAATATTAAAATAAAAATCTTTTTTAAAAATTTAAAGACTATTTAATATTTTTTATTTTATATAAAGAAGATATTTTTATATGTAAATAATATTAATAATCGGATTAATTTACTATAATTTTTAATAAAATAATAATAAAAGTTATAGAATCCTAAAAATAATTATATTTTATAAACTATTTTTAGAACTTTTTATTTTTTAATAACTACTATTTTTTCTAGGTCTACTTGTATTCTATTAGTAGAAATAATAAAATTTAAAAACTTAATTTTTATAATATAAAATTATAAATAACAGCTTATAGACCGGCTTTATATAGTTTTTTAAAAACTAATCTAATATAAATTTGATATTTAAAAAAATTATTATTATAAATAAAAATATTATTAATATATATAGTTATAAATCTATTTAAATACTTGTATAAAATCTTGTTTATTAATTTTTAAAATACAGCTGGTCTATTTATTAGACTAAAAAAAGAATTTTATATTTAAATATATTATATTAAATCCGAAAAATAATTAAATTCTTTAAATCGGAACTTATATAAATATAATAAAAATCTTATTTAATATCTAATTTAATAAATATTTTAGCTTATTCCAGTCGGTTAATAATCTTATTAATTAAAAATAATAAATATAAATTTTTTTAAATTAATATATTAAATTTTTAATAATCTATATATATACAGACATCATCTTCGGGTTTTTAAGCTATTAAAATAAATAATATAAAAAAAACTAAACTTAAAATAATAAAATTTTTATTTAGATTTTTAGTAATATAATATTTTATAGCTTCTAATTTTTTAACTGTTATTTTATATAGTAAAAAAACTTTTAATAAAAGCTTGTTATTAAGCTAGATTTTATAACTATAAATATAAAATAATAATAAAATATCCGAGACTTACTTAAAAAATACTTTAATTAGATTATAGTATTAAAAAAAAACTTTAATAATCTTTTATTATTTTTATTTAGTAGAGATTAGTTTTATTTTTTTATAAATTATCTTTTTAATTTCTTATAAAAATATAAAAAAAAACTTTTAATTTTTGATTTTTTTAAATATTACTAAAAGCTGGTTATTTTAATTAGTACTATTTTTAAATCAGCTATTTTTAATCTTTTTAGTTTTTAGTCTGCTGGTTTATAAACTTATTTTTATATCTTTTTTTATTATTAAAGTATAATATTTTATTTATTTTATATAGTATTTAAACTCGGTTTAAACTATAAGTTCTACTCTTATTTAATTTTTATATAATTTATAAATAAAATAAAATACTTAAGTTTTTATTATAGTACTTTTTAATTATTTTTTTATCTAAAAATAGGTTGTGGTTTATAAACTATTCTAATATTTTATAATAAATAAAAATAATATTATATACTAATTACTAATTATTTTAAATAAAAATATTCTAATAGTTTAATAAAAAAGAATTATTTATTATTTATTATTTAGTTTTAATAATTAATCTATTTTTTTATTTAATATTCTTTTAATATATCTAGTTTACTTTCTAGTGTTTAATAATTCTAAAAAAAACTATTTATAGAAGTCCGACTTAGATTTTATTTTTAAATAAAATTTTTTTAAATTATATAAATTAGTTTATATAATAGTTTAATAAGACTTTTTATTTTACTAGCTATAATTTTTCTAAAATTATATTATAGAATTTTAAGTCTAGTACTAAAAAAAATCTATTTAAAAGATTTTTTTCTATTATAAGATTAAAATAGATTATATATATTAAAGAGATAAAGAATCTTTTATTAAATCTAATTATATTTTAGATATTTTATAGTTTAAATAATTTAGTTTTAAAAAATATTTCTATTTTAACTGTAAACTTGGTATTAATATAAATATAAATATTTATTCTAATATTTATTAGAATTTAAATAAAAACAGCTATTATATTCTTTAAAATTAGAATTTTAATTATAAAACTATTTTTAGAAAATTTTAATAATATTTTTAGATTAAAATATTACTAGTTTATACTTATTATATTTAAAATAAAGATTTTTTTTAAGCTAAGTTTTTTATTAATATATTTTTAAATTCAGCTTTTTTTATTATTTTAATAGAAAATATTTTTTTTAAATAATTATAATTTAAATATTTAGACTTTTTATAATAAAAGTATTTTTCTTTAGCTAGTAATATAGCACGGGTTTTCTTATTTATACAGAATTTAAATAGAGTTTTAATTTTATTTTTATTAATTATTAAAATAGTTTTACTACTTAAATTATTCTTATAATCTATAAATAAGATTTAACAGCAGTATTTTATATTTTTATTTTTATTTTTAAAAACTCCGGTATATATAGTAATATACTATTTGAAATTAATATTAGACTTATAAAATTTAATAAAAATTAGTTTTTTAAATTTTAAAAATAACTTTTAATAAAAATTAAATTTTTAAAAATCTACTAAAATACCTGTTTTACCGGCCAGATAATAAAACTAAATATAAAAATTATAAAATTTTTATTCTAAGATTATTTTAAAAAAATATATATTTTAATTAGATATTCTACTTTTAATTTGGATTAATATAGATTATAGTTAAGTAAAATAGAATATTTATTATATTTTTAAAAAATTATTTAGTTTTAATTTATAATTTAAAAAATAAATATTTATAAATATTATTTTTACAGCGGCTAATAATATATATTTTTTATATAACTAGATTTTTATAATAATTAGTATTAGTTTTAAGTTTCTACTTAATTATAAACTTCTAGTTTTTAAAAATAATATTTTTTTTATTATTAAATATCGAAAGATTAAAAAATTTTATAATCTTTTTAAAAATTAAAGTTTCTTAGTCTATACTAGCTATTAGAGTTAATATAATATTTTATTATATTTTAATTTAAATTATTCTATTTTTTAAAATATTTTTTTCTATTTTTAATAAATTAATATTATAAAATAGAACTTCTTAATTAATCTCTAACTAAATTAGGCTTTTTTTGGTTTATTTACTTTAATTAATAGATTACTAATCTTCTTTTTAAATTTATTATAGATTTTTAATACCAACTTAAAGATATATATAGAATTTTTTTTATAAAAATTATAAAATTCTTTAAGTATAATATTTTTTCTAAAAATCTTACTAGTTTTATTTATAAATAAAATTAATTTTTATATCTTTTTTTTAAACAGCTTAGTCTCCGATATATTTTATATTATTATAATTATTTTTAATATTTTAATTCTAATATTAATTAGTTTAGGATTTAGCTTATTTTAAAGCCCGGTTTCTATTTATTAGTTTTATATAATTTATATATAATAAAATTCTTTTAGTTTTAGTAATAATCTAATTATATATTAGAATTTAGATTAAATTTTTTTTATTTTTTAGTTGCTGTGCAGTCTACAGTTATAGTAATAGAAATTTAGTTATAATTTATAATTTTAGATTTATATTTTTTTAAATAAATATTTTTTTAAAATTAACTATTATTACCGTCGACTCGCGTAAAAAAGAGGAAACTTTTAAAAATAATAAAAATATATATTTTTTATATATTTAGTTATAGAAAGTTTTAAAAAAGAAATAGAAGTAAAATAATATTTAAAATTATATTAAAACTAATTAAATTAGTTTATTCTTTACTAATCTAGTATCAATAATATAAAATTTCAGATATAAAAAGAAGAAGAAAAAAATAAAAATAAGAAAATACATATCCGCGGCTTATTTATTATAGAGTAACCGAGTAGGCAAATAAAACAAATATAGCAAAGATATTAAACAGGATTATTAAAACGGGTTGGGTTGGTGATGCCTGCCGGGCTGCCCTCACAAATATTACTTATATCTATAGTACTATAATTTATTTTAAAAATATTTAAAAATTTATTAGAATTAATATTATTAATTTTTAGAAATAATAAGCTATATAAACTAACTATTATTAAAAAAAACTTTAATCTAAATTAAAAATAGAATTTATATTAATTATTTTAATTAAAATTAAAAACAGCTGTTTAAAAAGCTTACTAATAAATAATATAATTTATATAAAATTCTAAAATAAAAAAAATATATTCTAAATATGATTATTCACTAATATTAGAATATATTTAGTATTTTATTCTAAAAAAATTTAATTCATATTAATAAATAAACTATTATTAGACTAAATCTAAAATTAGATTAAATTAATATATATAAATAAAAATATAAAGTATAAAATAAAAAAATTCTTAATTTTTATATATATTAAAAATATCTAATATATTATATTAAATAAATAAACTTAAATAAAACAAATTTAATATAATATTTTATAAAAAACTTAAAAAATATTTTTATACTTCTCAAAAAATTTATAGTTTATATTTAGAAAGTCTTGTTTCTTTAAAATTTTTAAAAATCCAATTAAAAATAGTTATAAAAAAGATTTTTAATTTTAATTATTTTAATAATAATTTTATTTTAAATCTAGCAGAATATATACAGTCTATAGTTCTATTATAAAAATAATTCTAAAAAAAACTATAAAAATATTTTTTATTTATAAATAGTTAAAACTAATCTAAAAATTAATATAAAAATAATTTTATATAATATTATTAATTCGGTCTATTTTACTAATTCTATTTAATATTTTTATTATATTTATTTTATTTATCTATCTAATTATTTTATAATAGATAAGCTGCGGCTGTATGTTTTCTTATTCTTATTTTTCTTTTTTTTTATATTTAAAATTTTATATTATTAGCACCAGATTAGTAGAAAATAAACTGATTTAATCAGCCCTAACAATTAAAGATATTTAGATAAAAGATATTTAAGTAATTATACAGACAAAGTAAATTACTATTCTTAATTAAAAATTAATAAAAAAAATTTACTAAATATTAGAAAGATGCTAGATAGTAAAATAATATATATCGGTCCGGGCGGCGGTCTAAAACAGAGAAATAAGAAATAAAATATAGATAAAAATAAATATACTAACTATATAAAATCTGAATATAATAATTCAGGAACATATTAAAATATATAAAGTATAATAAGAATAGTAAAATCAGGTTTTAAAAATTTAAATATAATAATTCTTATTTACTTAACATTTCTAGTCTTGGGCCGAATATTTTTGATATTAATATTTTTAATACTAATATCTCTAAATAGTAGGTCTAATACCGGAGAACTTTTAATAATAAAAAATAATATAAAAGTAATTGGAGTAGTAAATATAAAAATAGACTTAGATATAGAAATTTAAAGTATTAATTAAGATATTAAAATCGATATATAAGATTATATACAATTAAAGAATCGGACAGGCTCGATATAACTGTTTAAAACTTACTAATCCAGATTTTTAAACTAGTTAATATGTATAGAAATAAAAATTATAAACTTAGTTTAAATAATAAATTAAATAATATTCTTATATATAATATTTTTATTAATATTCCAAGTAAAAAATATAAATAATTCTTTTAGAATTAAAAAAAATAAAATAAAAGTAAGATAGTAGGCTTATTAGAATATATTAGTATTAAAATATAAATATAAAGAACTTTCCGAATATACATAAAATTAGACTATCTAGTATTCTAATTCTAATATATAGATACTAGAGTTATTATAAAGCTATTAAGATAATGATATACAGATATAATAAATAAGAAAAATTAGAAAATACAAATAAAACCATATTTAAACAGTCTAGAATACAGAAAATAAATAATACAGAATAAAAAAAACAGATAATATAAAATATAAAATATAAAATATAATACTAATTTAATAAAAGCAAAAAATAGTATATATATATATAAAATCAAATAAGTAATAAATAAATCAGAGTAAAATATAATAGTTCAGTAATCTATAATTATAAAAGCAGAAATAATGGGCAAAATACTAAATATAAAATTCTTATAATCGATAAAACACAGAAATACTAGAAAGTTAATATAAAAAGCCTAATATTTAATAAAACAGAAAAATATAATATAAAAAATTTAGAATTTGATAAATAAACCGGTAAAATCTTAGAAACATATAATATAATATTTTAAATAACCGGATATACTACTATATATAATAATCGATTTTATAAAAGAATAAGTTGATTATATAAAAAGAAAGAGAAAAAAAGACCAAAGAATCGGTAATACTAAAGTTCTCCTGCTTAAACAGTAACTAAGACAGCATCAAACAAACAGCAGAATATTAACATAGCCGATATACGCTACAGTTTGCTTAGCTATTATATAACTGGGATCTAAAACCTCTACTTGTTGCTGCAGCGCTCCACCACCTGCGGTAGAAAATTGCCTTTATTTTATAAATAATTCTTATAACTTTATAAATTTAAGGATATTTAATATTCTAAAAATAATAATATAGATTATTAAATATATCAAATTAAATATCCATATAGAATAATTAATTATAATTTTTTTAAATTAATTAGAATAAAAATAGTTAGACTATTTATTCTTTTTTAATAATTCTAGCAGTCTGTATATACTAATACAATTTAATATCATAATTTTTCTATATATGAGCTGTTTTCTTAGTTTTATATTTATAAATCATATTTTTAGTATTATATATATAAATAACTGCAGCCGGCTTGCTCAATTATTATATAATAAATATCTAAGACCTGCTATATAGATTTCTTTTCGCGTTAACCGCGAAGGTTGGAAGGGCTGGTTTGGGCCCTTACAGATATTCAATAAGAAAGAACTAATTATAGATTTCTAAAAAGTTATATATATATCTAATAATACTCCTATTTTTATATATAAATCAAAATTCGATGTAAACAGCTTAACGGGCTGCTTGCTAAGACCGCGTGACCGACTTGCTTACATAGCCGACTCGCTTACCGATTATGTTACTAAATATGACGCCATTGGCTGACGCTTAGGTACTTTTGTTCCCTGGATTTCCTCCTCGCAACAAGTGCCTGCTGGAATTACGTTCAGCCTTGGTGCCTCAAGTAAATCCCCACCATGTTCGTGGTCAATAAGTAAGTACCTCTTCTTCGCCAGTCGCTCTGGATCTTCGCTCATTTGACAATAGCATAGTCTATAACCTCGATATACAGCTCCACAGATTACAGCAGCGCATCACAAGAAGCTCAAATGTCGAGCTTCAGGAAACCCCCAGCGATGTTAACCAAAATAAGGACATAGAAACACTGGAGCGCATCTCAGACTCGCTTTCAATAGCATCACGTTCACAGCCGGCTTTGCGCGCCAGCCGGATTGCGCGATTGATCTCGGAGTGTCCCCAGACTCGGGTAGTATGTGGCCAGTCCTCAGGTCTTCATTCGTCTAGTCCAGTCATAACAGATCTATCTTGGATTGTGGCCGCTAGGGCTGCCGTTCAAACATTTGGATTAGTCTTGGAGTCGCTTTCGGAGAACACCATCGCCATCACTGATGAGCTCACTTACTGGGACAGTCTTCTGGAATCTCAATGGTACATGGGGCTGTATACTGCGCAGACATTCCCTGTGTGGCTCTGGCACAAGCTTGGACATCAATCCTCTGCCTGGTTGTCCCCCGGAATATGGACTCGAACAATTCTTACATCAGATGCATGGCATCATTTCCACCACTCCGCCCGTCGGCGTGTATTCTCTAGGACAATGTCTACTGTGCGAAAGGGATTACTGCTTCCACTTCTAGCATCCAAGTTAGAGGTACGCCAGAAACGGAAAATGCTGCATGTGGCCAAAGATGTCAATGCCGGTGCACTGGGATTCCTGGTGGAACGATGCCTTCAGATTGACCTTGATGACGATCTCATAGGCAGCCATGGTGACAGCTCTGTTAGTGATGAATGGTGCAGTAAGATTATTGACAGTGTGACTTTGTTGGGATTAGTACTGCAGCATCTGGCCTCTGGCGGCACACTTCATGAATTTGAACTCAAGACTACCGCGGCCGCCGAGAAAGAGGGCTCGTTGCTTCACGTGCATTCTGACGGAACCGTGTGTCCTAAAGGACCTTACTATGTTATTGGAAAACTCGACCAAATAAACCAGACATTGATTCCACAGTACCTTGCGCTTACACAAAAAAGTACCAGTGGGCTTGGGCGACCTTCATTCATAGTGCGTTACTGGCTCCCATTTCTACTGGCGACCTTGTCAACCAGTACAATTCTCGAGATATTCAAGGCCCGGCGCCATGAACTCTTGGGGTGGATCACAGATATCGGATCCACAACAATCGAGTTCTGGAACAACTGGGTCGTGGACCCACTGAAGCGACTCGTTGGTACAATAAGACACGATGAGAAGAGCGAAATTGCGTTAATGAGCAAGAACAGTCTTGAAGCAGATCGAGCTAGTTTGGAAAGAATGGTGGTAGATTTCGTCCTAGACCATCGCGAGCCCAGCGATGAGTCTCTCGCATCCGCAGAAATGAACACAATCATGAACAAAGTCAGGGAAGGTGATCTCACACCGGTATTGAGGGCATATGAGAAGGATTTACGAACTCCATTCATTGGAACTATTCGAGGTGACTTAGTACGAGCCCTCCTGATACAGATACAAAAGACAAAGGTGGATGTCGAGGTTGCTATTGGGGGCATTGATGCTTTGCTGAGGAGCCAGGAGCTGGTGTTTGGGTAAGTATTACCCTACTTTCAAGTAGGTGTGATGTTAACAGGCCATAGTTTCGTTGGATTGACCCCTGGTCTATTGGTGTCGTATGCCTCCGTTCATTGGCTCTTTGGCATGTTTGGCAGCAGGAAGGGCTTGCGCCTTGGTCGGCGGCAGCATGAATTAAGGCACGCACTGAGGTTAGTACGCTATCTCGGCGAAGTCGATGACGAGTCTAATGAGGCCCAATCCAGACAAGTTCACCGTAACCTAACTTTATCGACCGTGACGGCCAGCGGAACCCTAGCCTTCAGAGACTACGGTCTGCTAATATGCAACACCGAGATTTTACTTCAGAAAGCACAAGCCATGCTTAGAGGGGCTGACATCCATGCCTTCCAGGAAGACATTAATGACATCATCAGCAAAAGAAGCGCGCAAAAACAAATTAAGGTTGTTGAACGGATGGGCTGGGTTTATTCCCGATGGTTGTAAGACTATCTTCAGCGTGTCTTGCCAACACTCAGCCATAAAAACCAATGATGATTCGACTGGATTAACCTGTTAGGTACCTAGTACTCAAGTCATCCTACTTGCATTGGGAATGGCAATTGCTACATCGGTTATTGTTGGGGTACATGGACTCCCAAAGTCCGACCGTTACCGGCCAGACCCCATGGGTAGACAGTAAATGAGGATGCTCTTTCTAAAACCATACATGTCACGGATGAGGTAGGCAGCGGAAGGGAGAGGAGGCACTGGCAATTGTAGCCAAGTCATAGCGACCGACGCACATATCATTTCTTGTGGTAGTAAATAGCAGAGTCGGCAGCTCCATTCTTTCAATATGGATTGTTATTTTGTTGCTTTGCGCCGAATCAATTCTAGATGATCTACACTGAAGCTGATACGCGGAATTCTTCTTGAATTAGATGATTATGGCGGGTGTATGGGGCAAGCAGTGCGATACGGTGGTGTTACTGGTCTGGGTACTACCAGTGGATCTTCGGAGTTCTACTCCGCCTTGGGCCTTCTTTGTACACGCAACTTATCGGTTGCATCCCTAGCTTATTCTCAAACTCGCCATCTTATCACCGGCATCGTTCAATATCATACATCATCAAGAACGCACAATCTTCACCCCACATTTCTTCAGGATCTGATCGCAGTCGATTCAGAGATCGGAGGTAACGTTAGCCCACAAGGATTCTAAACCCACTTTTCTTTGTCTCCCGGCCCCGGCCCCTGAGCCCCCGTACTCCCGGGCAAACGATTGAATCATCGGAGTCCTCCCAAACTACCATTACTCGGGTAAAACCAGGCCTTTCCGAGGTCACATCTGAGCGCTGTGTGCGAGAAGCTCCCACAGACCAGTCCAGGGTAATTGCATCTCTAAAGAAAATCCCAGAGGAGTGATGTACTAATAGTCATCAGTGAATCGGAAACCGAGAAGGCAGGGTAGAGCGGCGAACCACGGAGTAGAAAGCAACACCTGCTTCGGACCGGTCTCAATTCTGAGCACAAACTCCTCACTGAAGTTATTTCTTGAAGCTTGACCTTGCTGGACCTCTGTAGTTAGGGCCAGTCCATAATGGCCGGTACAAGGAATTACGATTTTTTGGTAGGTGGCAGTTTCCTCTCTGGCGAATCATCTCTCTAATATTATGTATCCTCAGATCAAACTGTTGTTGATTGGTGACTCGGGTGTCGGTAAATCTTGCTGTCTGCTGCGATTCAGCGAGGACTCATTCACTCCGTCGTTCATTACCACTATTGGCATTGATTTTAAGATCCGCACTATCGAACTCGATGGCAAGCGCGTGAAGCTCCAAATATGGGATACGGCTGGGCAAGAGCGATTCAGAACGATTACAACAGCTTACTATAGAGGAGCAATGGGGATTCTCCTGGTTTATGATGTCACCGATGAACGGTCGTTCCAAAGTAAGAACTCCTTCTGGAATTACTGGCATGAGTGAGATGCTAATGCTCTAAATCATTGAATCAGATATCCGCACATGGTTTTCCAATGTGGAGCAGCATGCAAGTGAAGGTGTTCACAAGATACTCATTGGCAACAAGTGTGATTGGGAAGAGAAGCGAGCAGTATCGACCGAGCAAGGCCAGCAGCTAGCTAACGAGCTGGGTATTCCATTTCTAGAAGTCTCGGCCAAGAACAACATCAACATTGAAAAAGCTTTCTATGATCTTGCTTCAGATATCAAGAAAGGAATGGATTCATCAAAGTCTGAGCAGGTCAGCTCTCAGGGCGTTAGTATAGACCAGCAAGGATCTGGCTTGAACGGCAACACAGGCGGAAAGTGTTGCTAATTCTAATTCTCCACCTCTGAATGCTTCAAGTCTCTCCCTCTTGTTCCTCTGTGGCCCTACACCTTGCCCCACATGTGGCCGAGCACGTGTCATGGATGGTATATACCAAAGCTCTCATACTCCAGTAGATGCTAAGGAAATAGCCTGGTCGTATGAAAGTCTTGGTGCTAAGATTTACGTCTAAGTGAAGGTACAACACTGTTATTTCTGCAATTTGTCTCTTTCTGCTTGAAACCTCGTGTGTTTAACAATGCGTCACTTTAGCTCTATTACACTACTGCTCTCGAACCTGGCGTCGGCCCGCTAAATCTGTCATGAAGCAAAGTAGCCGACTCCCAGGGATACATTCTTTGGTTAGATAGTATGGTGGTATCTTACCCTCGGCAGCGATTCGTGGCATATCTCCTATCCCCAGCATATACGAGCTCCTGACATAGTGGGAATGGTGCTTCGAATGGTAACAGTGTATTGATTGTTCTGCTTTCAGGGCTATACGGGCATTAACAGGGGCTCATTTTATGTTGTGGGTATCATACTCATACCTCATCAACGGTAATGATATGTACTCGGGTCGGTAATTCGGGATTTCGGCACCTGTTCGGTAGTATTTTTATATCAGTCATATTGCTCTGATATACAGAGTCTCGAAAAAAGGTCCGCAATCGGTGTCAAGATGTATATAAATTATCTAGAATGATAAACCATCTAACCTCAGACACGGCCTCCTGATCGATCGCGGCAGGAGGCCTGAGGACAGAACAGTTCATATGCGGTACTTGTAGAAGACGGCTCAAAAGTGATCACTTGTAGGCAGAATACATGCGAGCAAGTCAAATGTCTAAGTAGAAACTTGCAGATAGTCCCAAATCCAGTTGGTATCTCGATATTTGATGTTTGTGATTCCTTCGCAACTCATTTGCAGCCAAAGTGCTGTGCCTGGAGCTTCAGAGTCATTAGTACCGAGGGGAGGTTTCACAAGCCGTATGTGCCAGAACCACGGCCTCCAGAAGAGATTACACACCTGAGAATACATTGCTTGTGACGCTTCCTCTGACTCGGGTACGGGTGAATGCGATACACGAACAGATACAATTGGTTCTGTCCAGCTTAGCTACTGACTACTACGTAGCCTGAGGTAGAGAAGTGTGTGCGAGTGGGGCAGCCTGCATATCCCCCGCTCCTAAGGGGAAAAAAAGAAATTTAAGCTCATAAAGTGTCTACGCCATCTCACTATCTCTATACTCTGGCTCTTCCCTTGACAGAAATGGCTCAAATATAGCGAGCTCTTGACAATCGCCCGCCTATCCACAAAGCTCTTCTTCACTTTATAGAAGGCACTCGACCTCGTCAGTCCTTGGTGCGCACTCGAAGTGTTCGCTCTCCTTGTTCCTCGGCCATTGCATCCCGCGCGACCATCGGAAAATGATTTAGTCCAATTAATATTGAAACCTCCTTTACTTCGTGATCTGCCTTATTCTAGAAGAGTGAGATTATTCCAACCGAAGCCAATCTCTTCCGGCCGATACTTCCAAGCTTCGCATTATACACCATGTCTGAGACTCGGTCTTTCACCGTTCGACCGCTCTCGAAACAGACCAGAAACGATCATCGAGATGCCTTTCGCGTATACCTATCATCTTCCTCGTTAGCCGCTCTTAGACTTAGGGCTGGCGATGTTTGCGCCCTCTATATCTCTGGAGAAGGTTCCAAAAATGCTATAGCCTGGAATGCAGTTGAGAATATCCAGAATACCGTCGTTCAGACTTCTCGGACTCTTCAGGATTGCTACGGATATAAGATTGGCGAAAAAGTTACTATCAGCAAAGTTGATGGGCCACTCGAAGAAGCACAGACGGTCTCCTTAGTGGATTGCTCAGATGATGACAAGATCACTAAGTTTGGCATCATACCCTCCAGCGACATAAGCCATTGGGCATGGTCACTTGAATTCCCTCTGGCGAGATGTGATGCAATTGCCATCGGTCTTGTTTTCGAACTGGAGCTTAGAGGCCAGCGACGCAGTTTCAAAGTGGCCGGCATGTCAGGCCAAAGTCAAAACAGTGATCATACCTTGCTCAAATTCACAGACACTAGCAAAATCATCATCGGTGAGGACGTGGCACCAGTGAGTCGTAGGGAGTCCTATCTGAAAGTGAATTCAGATGGCTTGGGTGGGATGCAGTCACAGATCGATAGTATCAACGAGAGTCTTGCTGATTTCAACTCGGATGCCAGTACTCTGACCATGCCCCCATTCTATGAGCATAGTCGAGGCATATTGCTCTATGGTCCTAAGGGAACCGGCAAGACGGCGCTATTGGGCCAAATCCAAGCGGCGGGGTGGAGAAAGACCTTCAACATTGGCTCCTCTACCTTTGGTAGGAACTCTGGTGACGCTGAAACAAAGCTGCGCAATGCTTTTCAGGACGCAATGCGTTGTCAACCAAGTGCTATAATCATCGATCAACTGGAGTATATAGCGCCGAGAAGAACCACCGTGGAGACCCAATCATTGACGGCCGCTGTGTGCGAGTGTCTGGACATGGTGAAAGGCGCTCTAGTTTTGGTTGTGGCCGCGACTCGGCACCCGAACGATGTTGATGATGTTTTAAGGACACCCCATCGATTAGCGATTGAGATCGAGCTTCAAGTGCCAACAGCGCAGGCTCGAAGTGAAATCCTACATGCCATATGCGGAAACCCATCCCCTACGCTGAGTGACACGCTAATAGATCTCATAGCGGAAAAAACGCATGGTTATGTCGGTGCTGATCTATTTGCATTGCTTCAATTGGTCTGTCGAAAGGCGCGAAAACGCCAATCGACGGAGGATTATATTTGTGCCACTGATAATGGCTCAAATACGGGCCGAATGGCTTTGGACGCAAATAGACCCCTCGAAATCGAGGATGATGATGTTCTTTCTGCTCTACAGGAGACACGACCAACTGCAATGCGGGAGGTATTCCTGGAAACCCCTAAAGTGAGATGGTCGGACATTGGTGGACAGCATGAGATTAAAAGACGCCTACAGAAGGCAGTGGAGAGACCTCTGAAGGTAGGTTTTCGTATGTTGATCATGTCTTGACATCGCTGACTCCCCGGAACAGCATCCACAACGAATGAAGAGATTGAACGTAAACAGTAAAAAGGGAATTTTGCTATATGGGCCACCGGGTTGCTCCAAGACGCTGACCGTGAAAGCACTGGCTACGGAAGCAGGATTGAACTTTCTGGCAGTCAAAGGTGCTGAAATCCTGAGCATGTACGTTGGAGAGTCAGAAAGAGCACTACGGGAGATTTTCCGAAAGGCACGGTCCGCGAGGCCTAGTATCGTCTTCTTCGATGAGATTGATGCAATAGCCTCAAGGCGTGGCAGCTCATCTCAGGGCGGGGTCAATGTTCTTACAACACTATTGAACGAGATGGACGGAATTGAAGAGCTGAGGAATGTGTTGGTCGTCGCGGCCACAAACAAGCCTGAGGTCATTGATCCGGCCTTGATGCGACCAGGCCGTCTGGATAATATCCTTTATATAGGGCCTCCAGATTTCGAGGCCCGGAAGGAGATCCTGAGCATCTGGTTCAGTAAGTCTGTGGTCCATCCCGAAGTAGAGATAGAAGCTCTAGCTGGGAAAATGGAAGGATACTCCGGAGCGGAGATTGTTAGTATATGCGAGACAGCCGGTGATGCTGCCTTAGATGAGGAAGAGGAAACCGGACAGGAGCAGGACATTCGATTGAAACATTTCGAATACGCACTCCAGCAGGTTCGCAGGCAAATAACAGCCGCCGTTGTGGAGGAGTACGAACGATGGGGTAACGCTACAGCCGATATTTAGAAATATATATGATGCCTCTGATACTGATCCATTGTAAGACGCTGAAACTGCACATATCTAATACTGGCCTGATTCAAAAATGAAGGACATAAGCGAAATAGACCCTGCGTATCTACATTCCCGAGTCGCGAATCCCCTGTCTCATGTCATCGGTGTGAGATGCTACGTAGTTGCGGGTCGGGTGTTTGATTACCGAGAAGGATGGCCCGGCTCCTACGTATTGTATTTGGAGGCGGGAAGCTCCACACCACCCACCCTTCTTGCCAGTACCTCGCCCAACTTCCAGCCAACCTTCTGACTTCAACTTTCCAGGTCTAGGCCTGACAACACAGCATGTCTGACAGGCCTCGGGAATACTCTTCGAACCGCTCACCGCGCTACTCTACTCTCAATCGAGACGCCAGACCATCGCGACGATCCGAATCTCCTCGTTCAGAGACAAGGTACAAGAGTGGGACGCGAAGTCCGTCCGTTGATCGCATCTCGGGCCGGCGCAATGGCGCTCGATTCACAAGCAGGTCTCGATCTCGAACGCATTCTCGGAGTCGAAGTCGGAGTCAGACCTCAAGGTTATATGGAAAGGAAGGTTACAGCCGGTCGCCTAGTCCCTCACTCGCCTTGCCCCGAAGCTCCAAGGTTTGTTGATCACGGACATAACAAGTTTGGCTAGCTACACGTTCTCGCGCTAACTGCATCAAAGATTGTTGTAGAAAGACTCACCAAAAATGTTACCGAATCACATCTACATGAGATCTTCGGGGGGTTCGGAGAGATACAAAATCTCGATTTGCCCATGAATAAAGCCTGTAATTCAACGAGCTCTCGCCGGTCATAATCTCATGGATGCTAACCAGTCGCAGTCATGACCAATAGAGGCACTGCCTACATCCTATACCATGACCCTGCTGATGCAGAGGCCGCCATCGCACACATGCACGAAGCGCAGCTAGACGGTGCTGTCATAAGTGTGTCCATTGTCTTGCCCAGGCGAGCGTTCTCGCGCTCGCCGCCGCCACAAAGTCAAGGCAACATAGGAAGCTTCGGCCGTCAGAGCCAGGGCCATGGCCCTTCGCCCTTAGACAGTCGTGCTTCCCGCCGTTCGCCGTTCCCGCAAAGGTCAACGTCACCACGAAGGGCCCGGCGTTCGCGGCCCATGGATAGGCATGATATCTATCGGCCACGCTCTCCTTCGCGCTCTCGATCACCACGCCGCTCCAGATCATATTCCTCAAGAACTCCCTCGGTATCACCGAAAGGACGGATGCCACACCCACGAGTGGACACTCCTCGTCGTCGACGTCGCAGTCCCAGCTACAGCAGTTATGAGTACAGCAGTCGCAGTGATAAGAGTCGGAGCCCGAGTCAGACCAGAGACCGTTATCGGCATGATACCACACGGTAAACTCCAAATAAACTTACCGTCGTCTTTGAAACGATTCACACACCATCTGCACTCATTACTAGATTGTGGATGGTCACCAAGCCAAAATGTCATCATCAACTTACCAAGTGAACTTTTCAGGCAACACAAGCAGACGAGCCAGTCCGCGCCAGTCCTATCAGTAATAGCTAGAAAAATGGGACATTGTTTCTCAGTCCAACCACCCGTAGCCCCGTGCATTCATGTATTTACTGAGAGAGCCGTCGATGTACTAATAGTATGACAAATCTGAGTGCAGGTCTGTCCAGTTTAGATAAAGGAGCACCAGCCAATATACATAGCTGCCAAATTTCGCTTATCGGTTGCCTGTATAATCAATTCATCGACGTGGCCATCGACGGAAAGTGGGACAGATTCCCCAGGTAGGAGACCTCGGAGTTTGTTGCGCACATTTTCTAGTACCCCGGCGGGTGTATCAGGCACACTTGCATGTGTGCGACGCTATAAATCACTGAGCATCAAAAATTTCTTTCTGGGGATTCGGCACGCTTACTTTTTTCCCTATGAAATCTGTGGTCGGATCGTGCAGGAAAGTCTCCAGGACCGTCATGAGTGCATCTTCATTGTGGCGAAGCAATCTTAGACTTATCTCGCAGGTCTTGCGGTATGGACCTGTTTGGAATACTTGTCAATATCCCAGAGCTCGTGCCTTCAAGCTTCCCAACCCACTAACCATTGTATCCGTAGGCGCCAAAGGCATCCACCATATTCTGTGTTAAGCGGAAAGGAACTAGCTCAGGTTTGTCGAAGGTCAAGCCCTTGAGAAGGAATTAGCTTTTGGAAGAACATAGCTATACTTAGCAAGATTCCAACGCACCTTGTCAAAAAGGCAATTGAAGTCGACATGTAGTACCCCCCCTGTCCCTTCCTCAAAGAGAATGTTCTCACCATGACGGTCACCTAATCTGTTGGGAGTCTCTTAAAACAACGTCCTGGAATAGTGCTAGGAAGCCTAAGGAAACTAGGTGCCATACCCTAAGACATAACCAACCATAGACATAACAGCGCAGGATCGGGTGTAACGTATCCTGGCTGCAAACCATGCTTCCGTGTCAGGGAACATCTCGACAAACCAGTCATAGAGCACCGGAGGAAATCTAGTTGTCTGTTAGCCAACCAGCCTGTAGCGGGATTTGTCTTCCGTGTTGTGTACTTAGCAAGAATCTGAGTTGAGAACAAATCGAGTTTCGAAGCCTCTGAGCAGGCTTCATTGAGGTTTTGCCTAATCTCGCTGTACTATATAGTAGAAGCTGGGTTAGCACTCAGCTTTCCGGCGCATGCGCGGTAGGAGACCTGCATTTGGCGAAATTCCTCTCTCTTTCAAAAGCTTGATGACAAGTTCTCTCAATGTGCGGAGGTTATCCACCCACTCAATGAGTCCACACTCCTCGTTCAGTGGCGTAACAGCATACGTTTTGATGTCTGTCGAGCAATACATAAGATCAGAAGAGGGAAAATGAAAAAGCTGTCCGGGAGTATAATGCCTACACATTCGACGTTTGCTCGATTCGACGTCTCTCTTCAAGAATCTATTGATCATGTTATTGAACTCCATGAGGCGTTGATCCTTGCGAAGGTCATCCTTGGGTTTGCATAGGATACTGTAAATCCTTCCATCCGACCCTCGGATACTGATACGACGGGGCTTTTGAAGTGAATTCAGGATTTGAGCATCATCGAGGACAGCTAGTAACGATCAGCAAGCACGTTAAGTAATGAGCATCGGCAGCTTCGCACCTTCAATTGTAATTGCCTCTCTGGGGAAGGCCCTGAAGTTTTTGAGATATTCAGAATCATGACTGGCTGGTAAGATCGGTGTTAACATTGCCTGAAAAGGCACGACAAGTCGACAGGGGGCCACTTTATGATTGAAACCAAGAGATCTAAGATTTACTCTTGATACCTTCTCTTCAATGCGTGCTATGCATAGTTTCAACATCTCATCTGAGAATTTCTGGCCTTGATTAACCATCGCACGCATGTCAGATACGGATGACTCTCCTTTCGCTTTCTTGTTCATGTCCTGCTTCGATTAGCTCGCAGGACCTGCCAATTTTCCATGTTGACATACTGTGATTCTCTGGAGACAACTAATACCTCTCGAGGCTCTGTCTCTAGAAGACGACTTGACCACGGCGAGGACTGTCCATAGCCCTTGCTGAGGGAAAGAATTCACAGCTTTGGCTACGATTTTTGTCAAGAGGTCGTATACCGTGGTATTTGGATGACAGATACGAGCTAGGACTTGAGGAAGAATTGTAAACAGCTGAGTTTGTTAGTATGTTATGCTGTAAATCAAAGTCACTGGACCTACCAACGCAGCTGGGACTCGATGTATGTACTTCTTTAGCTGCAAATGTATGTCTTCGAGGCTTCTCTTTCGCTGCTGTAGGGTATGCTTTTGAAAATCCCTTTTTTCAGGAATGTCAACAATTGATGTGACTAGACAAGCAAAAAGCCGTTGTCGAAACAACGAATGAGTAGAGTAAAGGGGCTTACTCATTGTCTCCGCGCTTAGGATCAAATGGCTGTTCCACGATAGATGCGTGTTCCAACCACAAAGTCAGCACTTTGGGGAGTGATTGAAAGACATATTTATTTCCATGAGCCAATGATCGTAGATAATTGTCGACAACAAGCTTTGAGACTTCGCCACTCAAACTAGAACGTGTAAGATAGAATCGCTTCAGAAATCTGGGGACCTGATAAGGCAAACGTACTAGATCTGTGCCTCCTTCCCCAGTGGCTTCGCCTTCTCAGAATCCAAGATCTTATTGTAGTGCTTTCCCAAATAATAATGTGCTTTCTCCCACCTACTTATGATTAGCATGAGTCCCTCACAGAGAACTTCGGCAGATACCTTGGTTGAAGTTTTATGGCTTCCCTGAACCTTTGAACAATAACATCCGATTGAGTTTGACCGGCACGATCCGTCCATTTTGCCAGGAGCAAGTGGGCCTAAGAGAGACGTGGCCCGGGTTAGACGCTGTACATAACTCAATAAAGGTGATATACCCTAGCTGCAAGAATATTCTGGTGTTTGTCACGTAGTAGGGATCCGGAATCGGGGTCGCCTGACGTTGAAAATTCATTAGCCATGATTGCACCTTCAAGCGTCTGTATCGCTTTCCGGTGGTGACCGTCTTTCCACAGAAGTCGGGCGTGTTCGATAGTAGCTGTTCGGTCTTTCAAGCGGGCAGCATGAAGCATTGACTGATATGCTTGGTTGGTGTAATTGCCCTTCCGCAGAAGACGGGCACTAGCCAGCCAAGCAGCTGCGATTTCAGAATCGGAGAATTTGCCCCTTCAAGCGTACAGTCAGTCCGCGTAAGTATCATAAAACTGAAGGAATATCCATACGTCAATTCCATTGTTGCTCGCCTAAGGCCGAGTAGGTATTGCTTGTCGGAGATATATCCTCCTAAGATGTCTAGGCGACGGTCTAAAACAGCACGCACTTCTGACCGTGACGTTTGCTCGATGCAAGGCTCGTGTCCTATCTTGACTATGAACTCAATCTCACATAAAGCATGCAACCTGTGTATACTGTCATGGCATGATTGCAACGAAGTCACCGAATTAGCTGTCAGTGATTTGGCAACATTGAGTCGCAGACCATTGATTAGCTGCCCAAACCTTGCCCCGTCATCACGACGAAGTGCGTCGAAAGCGAGTCCAATCCCGATATTGAAATCCGACGTATCCTGCGAGCCAAGTCGTAGATAATGGTGTAGTCGATCCCAGTTCCCAGTAATCCAAGATGCTTCCACTGCGAAGGGAAGGAACTTACTCCTTAGAACAGGACTTGTGAGAACCTCGAATCTGGCGAGAATAGCATCTGTGCAGCACGAGTGAGTCTGAAAAGTTGCAGCAAACAAATGCTAGTTAACGGCATACCTTGCTGTCCTGATTCCTTGAGACAAGTAAGCAGATTCCATTGCGCTTCGCCGTTGTCCGGATCTTTCTGGACCTGTAGCTCATACCAGCTCTGCGCAGTAGCCCACCTTCCTGCTTTGCGATGTTCAAGCACTTGCTGATCGATGTTCAACGCATGAAGACTGGACGAAATTCCTTCAATGCCGTCTGGCTCATCGATCTGGCTGTAAATATCCTGAAGACGCTGGTACAGAGACTCGGTTCCGGAAGGCTGCCGTGTGCCGGCCTGAATCTTGGACTGACGAATGTACTGCTCCCAATGGAACAGGGCCCGTGAGAATGACTTGCACTCGACCGCTCTTCTTGAGATGATCTCTGGAGGTATTGAGATCAACAAAGCTTCCACAGCTTTCACCTGCGATGTGTAGGTATCCAGGAGCATTTGGCGAGACGCTTCCTTGTGGGTACGACTAGAGTGATGGCTGTGATGCTTGAAGCTATTGAGTTGTTTCTTCTTTCCTTGAAGCCATCGCGAAAGATAATCTAGAACCTCAAAGATACTCTTAAGCGAGAGAAAGGTACTAGTCAGTGCCTGCGAAGTGAGGAATCCAGGGGAAACTGACCTGACTGCATAACAATATGTTCTCGTATGCATAATTGTTCGATTCTGGAAGAGGATAAGACAATGTATGTACCAGTTCGCATCGCAAATCTTGCTTCTCACTTTCCGTTCCGCCAACTATGCGATTTAGAACCGCAAATGGCAAAAGGAATGACGCTATCGAGATATCCTGACCCTTAACAATGCGACTGCAGACGCTAAATATGAGTCGTGCATTATCGCCGTTCCCACTTCGTAACAGGTCTTGCACAAAGCTTCGAAGCCAGTTGCCATGAGTCAGTTCCAGAGAGAAAAGAGGAGATTTGCAATTAGTGTTGATGGCGCCAATCGTAACTGTGTACTTTGATGTTAGGAATGGAGTCAAGATGTTGCGAACAGCCTCAGGCAGTTGCATCCAGCGTCCATATTTTTCCCCCCCTTGAACATCCCGAGACCGGCTAATCACGGCCGAGTCAAGGTTGCAGAACCTGAGCATATTTTGCATTGCATACGCGAGAAATCCTTGGGCTCTCGTGTTAGATGTCGACAGAAAAGCCTCGACGAGAACGTGCTGCAGGAAGAACAGAATGAAGTCAAAAGTCTCCTCCATGCTGTCAAAATTCGATAAGACCAGTATATCTTTCTTCTCCTTTATCGTATCTACTCGATTGGGATCAAGACAGCCGATCAAACCCAAACACCGAGCCGAGAGAATAGTGATGGATTCCGAGCTCGCATTGAATTTGACACAGCAATCAAGCAAGGCTCGAGTCAGCTGTGAAACAACCGGATCTGGTTGTTCACTAAGCACTGAGGCATGAACGAATTCTTCATTGCCAGAAAGAAAGGCAACGAGTTCCTTCAAAGTTTGCTCAATGACTACCGCGTTTTCACTTTGGCTGCGACGAATAAAAGCCAAAAATCGGCTCCGAACGTCCATCTTTCCTCTAAGCTCGTTGATCTCTACCTCAAAGTTGGCTAGCCTCGGTATTAAAGAAAGAGAGGGCATGGTATGGAAGATGTCGCGTACCACATCACTATGGTGATGTATGATATAACCAACCAAGTCGTGAGCATGACTTTGTGTTTCTTCAGTGAACATGTCCCAGTACTTCATCACTATAGACAATGTCTGATCAATGAGGGACTCGACCTCTTCCCCCTGAAGAGTGCTAATGAGGACTCTCCACACCATGAATGCATGATTGCACAAATCCTTCATTTCGAGTGCGGATTGTAAGCAAGCACATATCTAATTTAAGTCAGCCGCATTGCACTAATATGACTGAAAGAAGGTTTAAAGGGCAGACCTGCGGCAAAGCACTACTGACGTGACCTCGAGCGACCTTGATCATCTCTCCAATAGCTGCAAGATTTCTTTTCTTTTCCATGAGTGACTGTCTGACTTGAAAATCATTTATGGCATGTGCAAATTGTGTAATGATGCCAAGTACATGCTCTTCGATGAAGTGACCGATCAAGTTGCCTCGTTTTTGTGCATTGGCGGATTTTCGTGGGACAAGGGCGGCGAGGAGATGAAGCGCTCGCTGGAACTGTTACACTTAGTGACCATGGCCAGCAAGCCTTGAGTGCACACCTACTCTCGCTCCTTTTCTGACGCTCGAGTCCCCCAAGTTCTTGAGAATTTCACAAGCGATGAGAATCGGCTCGACTCTCAAGAGTTCGGCTAAGGTACGTCCAGCGAAGGCGGCATCCACTGTGGATAGGGTGGACATTATACTATCTTCCGGGTCCGATGATGGCTGACTCAACAAGAACGCTAGTATAGCGGCGAGATTGTTCTTCTCTGAACATATATCGAACGGGGTTTTGAGTTCTTTGTATGTGGCGCCTACCCTGGCGATGATATCCCGTTTTTGTGTGAGCACGAGGTAAGGTAAAACATGAACCTCAGTTAATCGTAAGAAGTCATCCACTTGCATCCCTAGGAGATCGCACAGCTGTTCTGCCATGTAAGGGCGAGACTGGAAGCTTTTGACCACGGTCACAGAGAGGGTTCTCCAGAATGGTCGAAACAAGCCAGCGGGAGTAAGTGAGAGATTTTGCGCGAGTCTGGAGAGCTAGATGGGAATTAGTCCATTGTTAATTTGGTCCAATGTTAATTTGAAGAGAAGGTTTCCAATGATTCACACATACTTCAGTGTATGCGATGGAGCAGACGAATGGATTCGAGTGACCCAGATATTCAACAAGACGCAGCAAAATGATGTTCATTTCTTCGTCATAGGAGAGCCTTCATGGTTGACAGGATGATTAGCAACATGAGCAGGATGATGAATCAAGGAAGGCTTACATTGCAAGCCGACAAATTGTCAAGATGCAACTTTCATGATAATAAATGTCCTTCTTCTCTGCGATCCCGCGTAACCAATCCAAGATTCTTATGAAGTTGTCATGCCTAACACTTCGGTCCAGTTTTCTCTGAACAAACGAAGTAATCGAAAAACTAGAAACATCGTCAACACCCACCGCTAGGCCGCACAGTTCCAAGAGTACATACCCGGCCGTTATTCGTAATTCTCTTATAGAGCTCCTCATAGAGTGTAGATAGAAGTCCCCGAAGACAGAAGTGGCGAGCCGCGTGTATTCACAGTTTGGAGAATGCATGATGACCCTACGTAAAGCAGATATTGCAGCTATTCTCAAAGGCGCAGTGCGGGAAAGCGTAGGTAGTATGGAGGCAAACACGTCACCCAGTAGGTCAGCCCCGCGGCACTGCTCTTCCGGGTCGAAGCGGTCTTTTCTGCTTTCATCATCGCAAAAGCGACAATGTGATGCATCATTCGAGGTAGCTCCGTCAATGCGTGCCAAGCTTCCAGCCATAGCGCAAGGTAAAAGTCCTAGGGTGTGTAGAAATTCGCATTTTTTCTCCTCACTAATTTCGCCAAAATATTCACTGCAGCCGGGATTAGGTATCCGTTATAGCATCTCATTGCAGTATGACTTACGACACGGCAGGTCCAAGGTCCTTGATATCACTGGAGTCTCGATCACAAAGCAACCTGAGTAATTCTGACACAAGCCTTTGCGGCATACTGCGGTTGAATATATTTGCATCAGAACGCGAAACACAGCGTCGCTTCACAGAAGGACCACTTTCAGTGTTGTCAACTGATGGGTCAATGGTGCGTGACTCTTGTGATTGAGCAATCCCTTGCCCTGCGTGCTGTGTGAGAGCATCAGAAGTCTCAAACACAGTGGTATGCTCCGCTTTTGATGGCAAGACTCTTCTCAGAAGATTCTCAACCGATGCCTGTTCATAGAATTAGCCTCAAATGCACACATACACAGATTATTCATGCTCGGTTACCTGCAGACGCGGCTCTAAAGACTGAAAGAATGCAAGTCTCTCCGTCATTGCATTGTTCAACAGAATCGATTTGTCCGTGATGCTATCGCGACGCGCTGTACATTTCAACATGTCAACAACTCTATTTATGAGCTGGCTCAATTCTAGTTGAATGACCGGGAAATCGCTCAGGTCGTCCGTGGCCAAAAGGTCTCCCAATTTTTGAAGAACAATATGGACCAACTGTAAGTCTTGATCTGTGCATCTCCCCTGGGTGAAGAGAGTCCCAGCTGCGGCTATCATGCGGACAACAATCTGTGTGGTTGTCTCTTTCGGAGCGGGAAAAGTCTTTTGGAGCCAGGAAACGGCCAGGTCCCATAGGCGCTGATAACCGTTCAGGAGCCATATCTTATCATGCCGATCAAAAGGGGTGTCAGATGAGGTAGAAGCGTGTATGTTAGACTTGAACATATCAGCACAGAGTAAGAAGCTCTGGAGCAATGACCCTGCGTTGATGCTCCTATTGAATGAGCCATGCGGAAGACGGAGTTTCAAAAGATCTATACAGAATTGTTGCTTCAAGTTGACTACAGGAGGATTGGTCGCATGCTCATTGGATAACCGTTGAGAATGAAAAGCCTCTAGAGAGCACAGAAGGTCTAGAGGGGGTTAGCCAGACATCCGACACAGACGCGACGCATGAACAAACCCATGGTGCATGATCGTAAGAACGAAGAGATACAAAGGAAAGAATGGAAGATTCTGGCATGACTATTGGGCACACTCGTTATGCTCGAGAGGATGCTATTGACTTTTTCTCTGAGTCTGTCTATCTCCCAGATACTGGCCGCTCGCAGGAGTCGGACAAGCAGCCACGAGTACAGGGGAACCTGTTCATCGTTTCCCAGAATCTCCGGATCCGCAACCTCAACAAGAACCAAAGGTGCTTTGTCGACAACAGCCTGTATAATATCCAGGCAGTCCCAGAGCTGATTTGCTAGGTCCTCCCGGTGGCGCCCCTGGTCCTTGATACAAGGCTCGAGGCCGGCTTTGAGGGCAATACAAAGAAGCTTCTTGACATCGGCGACGCTGTCATTGGATAGCAGCTGGCTGTATTTGCCTTCAAGGAGTTCATGCCGCAGTTGTGAGAAAGCTTCTTTGGTTAGGATACGCGTCTGATCGCCTTGCGAGGACAGACGCGGAACCAGCTGCGCCGCCAGGGTCGAAGAAACCGTCTCTGCAACGTCCGATCGGTTGGTCTTCGATGTGGAAAATCGAGACGATTTGCGCTCAATTGTTGCCATTGGCAATGCAACCACACATGGTGCATGTGTCTTCGGATATTCTAGGCGATGATGAAGCTCGGTAATGACAGGTGATGGTGATTAGAACAGGCTCTGGAGGATGGGGGGAGAGGGTTGTTATTCGGGTTCGATCCGATAATCACATAATCACCCAAGGCGGCGGGCAGAATCATAGATTTCCATACATTTCCACATGGACTACCGAATACCTCGCCTTCATTGGAGTTCGGAATTTTCTTAGGCACTTGCTGCTTTAGGGCCTGTCATTTCGAGGTCAGATGCTCTCTGTTGATGCAAGTCCCAAAGCAAAGGACGACGGCTGACTTTTTATATGTGCTATACTTCGTACTTACTCATACTCGTCTATGGTTACTTATTACCCCAGCCCCGAGGCACTGTACTATTTATTGTACGTGTATACATTGAAGTGGGGCACTGCGCCATCGCGCGCGGTAGTCCGGATAAGATAATTGAATACATGTTGAAAGCAGGACTAAGCTGTAGTTACTTCACAGTACACTCCGTAGAATGTTAAAATTGTGGAGATGACTCCGTTGCAACTCAGCTTGGAGTTACTTGACTAAAAATCGATTGAGCCCAGAAGAAATTTGCCAATTTCATACCGTTGCGATCCCTGGCAATTCATGCAAGTCAAACTAGCACATTGATACGCTATAGTTTTCAGGTGCTGAAAATTTCCTCTCCTTGGGCTCTCCTCCAGTACACTTCCTCTGCCAACTGCCTCACATTCATTAAACCCGGGAATCGTCATGGCAGTGCCTGCTCGCATGGACTCATGTCATGCGTACTTTATGAAGCAGGCATTAATAATGGTATCTGTGGATACCAATATCGCTATAGAACAATAGCAAACTAATGTGTTTTCTTTAGGGTGAAAAAGCACTTGAGACAGGCGAGACGCCGGTAGGATGCGTCCTTGTTTATAACAACAAAATCGTCGGTTCAGGGATGAATGATACCAACAAATCCATGAATGTAGGTTAATGCCTAGGCGCGGTAAGCCTAAAGAGCACTATTCATAGTTTTGGGTGTCTTGGAATGTAATTTCACTACTATAATGGTTTCTCTTACAGATACTGCCTGAATGAACCCAACGACCGATTTTAGCTGATGAAACACAGGGCACAAGACATGCTGAATTCATCGCCATCGAGCAAATGCTTGAAAATCACCCTAGAACGCTTCTTCGTTCGACAGACCTATATGTGACTGTTGAACCGTGCATTATGTGTGCTTCTGCTTTGAGGCAATATCAGATTCGTACCGTTTATTTTGGCTGCGGAAATGACAGGTTCGGAGGGACCGGAAGCATCCTCTCGCTGCATTCTGAGTTCGTTTTCACCCCCGTAACAATTTCTTGCCACTAATATATCGCTCATTAGCCTCTCGATAGACCCACCGTATGTGGTACATGGGGGGCTATTTCGGGAAGAAGCTATAATGCTACTTCGGCGCTTCTACATACAAGAAAATGAAAATGGTATGCACGAGTCCGGTCATTAGCAGTCATTTAAGTCTCGCTGACTGCAGCCCAGCTCCCAAGCCTCGGCCTAAGAAACACCGTGAGCTCAAGACGAGCTTTCAGAATAGCGTACCGGACAGTCAATCTTCGAGCCCAACCATCTGAAGTATGGAATACCAGCTCATATTATGCCCTCGTATCCTGCAGCAGAAATCCCCAGCTGTCTGGATTGACCCAATAAAGGCAAGCTGTTGAAGAGGGTTTCACATTGCGCTAGAATATAAATACGTATACAACAGGTTTCGCGGTGACAGAAGAAACAAGGGCATATCTAATGTTTGTCACTATTCATTCCCCCCGATATTCAGAGCGAGCGATACGGCTATTTCAGGCGTTCCGCTTCGAGCTCCCGTTCCGCTTGTTGATAATATTTGGCGGTGTCGACGCCATGCTATCAAAGGGTCAGCATTCGAGTTTCGAGATGCCTAGACTCCGCCAATTCACCAGGCTTGCGTGCATATCTGATATACTTACTTGATCGTGGTTGACAATATTGATCCATGGAATGACATGGCTGAAAAGCTGAGAATAACGCGAGTTTCTAGCAGCAACACCCTGCAAGTATGGAGAAACCTGAGAAGTTCCGTACAATGGTTCCCCCTTTTTGACCTTGTCTACCATTTCTCTCACATCCATCTCGACTTCCCGCGAGTTTTCCGTGAAACCATAGAAGCGATCTACAACGGCAAATTAGCATCCGTAATGGCACTTTTCCCCGGCTGCGGTGGGAAACTCACTGCAAGATCGTTGGTAAAAGATATGTAGACCTCCAACGAGACCGATTGCTGTTGCTAGTCGCATGACAGGAGCGAAGCCGCCTCTGCCGACATGGGACGGGCTCACCCTCTCCATGATCCAGAAAGCAAGTGGAGAAGCAGCAGCCAGTCCACCTGATACAGCATAATCAGAGGGTCTTGCATAACCGACGACTCGTCTCAAATGCCTGAGTTCCAGTGTGAGATTCTGCGATTATCAATGATTGAAGGCGGGTTCATACGGGTCGGAATCAATTAGCTATGGAGTATCAGTTAGTGCCAATTGTCCATTGAATTGACTTGCTGAGATATCTTAAAGACATACCGGATAGTCGGTGTTGGCCCGCTTTGGGGGGACAAGCGTTGCCTTGTGATCGGTAGCCATGATCGTTTGGCGTGGCCAGAAGAAGGTGCGTAATAATCGTGCTTTGGGGATTGGCTCCTGCCGCAATGAAGTTGGAACTCAGAGGGAGTCTTGCCAAGCAAGCCCACCGCCTTACCTGCTGGAGTCTAGTTAACTAATTAGTTAGCGATTAGCACATGACTTAGTCATCACAAACATACTTCAGTGGACTACCTGGGATACCGCACCTATTGTATTGTACTGAGAATGTATGTATGGAGTACAGGATATTTTGTACTACTAATACATTGAAAGAAGCCCTGAGTCTATAATACATATCCTTCCCCGCCACAAATTTCACAACTCATAATAAATTTTAAAAATTGTTCAAAATCCAACAAAAATCTTTGATCAGGGTTTGAGGTAACTATATTAGTTATTGCACAAATCTAAACTCTACTATCTAATCTTATCAGCAATTATTCTGTTCTTTTGGTATTTAAACAGCATTTATAATTTATTACAAGCTGTAGGTTTGTGGCAAGGGGGGGTATAGCTTTCCTAGTTTCCTATACTTTATACTATTATATGTAAGTTTAATCAAGATGAGTATATTAGTATTAATTCAGACTCTAAAGGTCCTAATATAAAGAATAAGAAAGATGCTTTAAGAAAGAATGATTTTTTCAGCTATAAACAAAAGATTGTAATATTGCCCACTATTAAGTATCACAATATTCCAATCACAGTACTGGTAGCTTTGATAATTACTATGAATACTGGCTGTAATTATAATACTACAGTCCGGAGTTTGCACTCCCCAGGCCCCTTGCAAATGATTAGTAGTTTGTCCTCTAGCCGCTTTAGGTATAGTGCAGCTGAAATTCTGCTGGCATAATTCCTATTCGAAGCCAATGCTTTCCTCTGATGGCTGTGCGGTGGAGTAAACAAGAAGGCGGTAAGTGGCTAGCGCAGCACGTGAGTCAAAGGGGGGCGGGGGGGTGTAAACTCATGTCCTCCCACTGTAGTGGTGCTAAACCATCTGCAATAGCCAGTAGTTAAGAGGCTTTAAATCCTTATCTTTTAGTTAAACTGTTACTGTATGTAGAGATACATAGATAGATAAGATAATTTGAGATTTTTATACACCCTAATAGTTTTAATAAACAGATTTAAAACAAAACTTCTTAAAAAAGAATCCTCATAGTAGTATTTTTAAATGTCCAATAGTTCCTAATATAAGATTACAATCACCACAGGACTTGTATTTCAATTACATTGCCGATACAGTGTTAATAACATTCATTTATCAGTCTGTAATGAGTAAATCGCCCAGCAACTTACTTGCCTCATTGGTCACATACGCGTCCCGAGCTTGCTGATCGCGTCGCCGCGTACAAAATCGCTTATACTAACTAGCAGGCAAACAACAACTTACTCGATATTTCGATCAACATAACCTAGTCCTGCCCACCTAAACTTCGCCGCTTTTCTTTTCTGACTTGCCACTCTACGATTTCAGTGTGTTATTTTTCTTTCGTCATCTCCAGAGTTGAGGAGCGCCTGGAATATGGAAACTACAACAGAACCACTTGATGCACTAACAAGCCATGACGATTCCTTGTTTGACTATGACGCCGGCCTTGATGCGGCATGGCAACAGCCTCAAACGAACATCACTGTAAGGTCTAATAACGAGGACCCAACGCCTATTCTAGGGGTGGACGATAAGGTCCAGGTTAGCAAGCACCGGCGATTTGTTGCGAAACTAGATGAGAGCAGGTAAGGCCGGTGATCACACTTCAGTAGAACCCGAAATGCTTACTTGTCCATCGCCTAGATTGCTCTCGCAATCCGGGATACCAAAGCTACGCCTCACGTCCAGGCAGAGGCTGAGACTGAAGGGCAAAGGGCACGAGGTCTATGACCACCAACATCGGGATCACTTCTCTCCGACTGCTAATTTCATGGAACAGTTTTCTGACGTCGCCCGGCTTTTGAACTTCTACCAATTATGGCTTGACGATTTATATCCTCGTGCCAAATTCGCTGATGGTCTGGCCATGATCGAAAAACTTGGACACTCTAAGCGCTTGCAGACGATGAGAAGGGAGTGGATTGATGAAGAGAAGCCGAAAGCGCTGACGGCTGATATAAATCAGCAAGTCCTCGATGATCTTGGTGCAGACATGGACCCTGCGACTACGGTAGAGACATCCGATACAGCATTAGGCGGAACGATTTCTGGCTCTAGACGCGGGGACATAATGTTCGACCTGGCACAACTACATGCGCCAACTCCAGAGTCAAACAAACAGATACCAGAAAGTTGCGTAGCGGATGATACCCCTGAAGATGACGAGTTGGATGTCCTTCTACGAGAATTTGAAGATGGAAACCATGGCGCCTAGGTCTCTGTTCTGCCTGCTTATTGGCACCCGAAGTCGGACTTTTAGATATCACCGAGATTCGAGACGCACAGGCGTTTATCTTAACCAAGAACTTGTGTATAATACGGATGACGATGCTCTTGAGCACAAATCCCAAATGAGAAAAGGAGGAGTCGATTTACATACCGTGCGTAGAGATCTCGTGTATTGAACGCAGCCGTATAATATGTTACAGCCAGAAGATTGCATGTGTACAAAGTCAGGCTGATATGAGCACTGCCGGACTCGAACCAAACTACAGCTCTTGTGGAAGGCCCTGCCAATTCAAAGCTGATCATAACATCACAGGTTCGGTGAATACCGAGAATTGGCCCCCCGCACCCGCCCAGGTCAGCCTCTTTCCCCGGATAGCAGTGTTTTCGACAACAGTTGCTACCTCAATGTCATCCTGTGTCCCTTGGCCAGTTTGATAAGTAGCGGAAAACCCCCACGACCAAGGATGGCCATCGCTATCAATGGCTATTGAGTGATCTGAACCCGCAGCCACGGCATTGGCCTTAATTCCAGGCACAGGAGTCGGTACTATGAGGATGCGCGGGCGCCCACGCTCATCCTTGATAACCGCTTCATCCAAGAGTGTGTCAATCCTCAGCCCCGTTTGGTAACCGTCCAGTCGTCCCCAAACGAGGCACTGACCGCTCCTAGTGACGGCGAGTGAGTGATGAGCACCACCGCAAAGTTGAGTGACACCTTGGTTTGACAGCGAATCGACAATGGTAGGGTGGACAATGGCAGCATCGTCGTCACCAGCACCGGCTCTGATACCAGTTTCACCAAAACTGTTCAGACCCCAAGCGTAAACTTTGCCAGATTGGTGGACGGCGAAGGAGTGGAAAGCGCCACAAGCAATGTGCACGATGTTTTTAGGTAGACCAAACTCGCGTGGCTGAAGCCCATTTAGCCTATTCCGCTCGATGATACGGCGGCCTAGCTGGTTCTGCTGGCCGGAACCCCACGAGAATACGGCGCCCTTCTCGTTTAGAGCGAGAACGTGATTATCACCACAGACCATGTGCCTGATCTTTTTTAATGAGGGGATATGCGTGGGAGTAGCTTGAACTTTGTTATTGGGGTCAAAGCCTAGAATCCCGTCGTTGCTCTTGACATTGTCAGCTTAATCTGAGCAGTTGGCGCGTGAGCTAACATACCCTAAAAGTTCCCCAACCATAGACCTGACCTTCATCTGTAAGAGCAAAACTAGAGCTATCGCCAGCTGCGACTTCCACAAAAGTAGTACCCTCTGGGAAAGCGTCAGAAGGAATAGCAGTAGGAGTCGACTCGTGCGGGTTGAGGCCAGTGTCATTGTCAGAGTCTGAATCCGAGTCGCTTTTAGTCTCGTCCACATCCTTGTAGCCGTCCTCCCAGGTGGTATCCCTCCCAAGCGCTCCCTGATCATTGACACCCCATGTCAGGATTTTGTTGTCGTGCGTAAGTGCCACGCAATGCATGCCGCCAACTGCGACTTGTACAACGCCGACCCGGTCTGCTGGCAAATGCGGATTGAGACGAGGCCTCTTTACATCGATGGCGGTTTTCCCCGCTCCAAGACCGAGTTCACCAGAGCTGCCTTCGCCACAAACATACACATTTAGACGGGTGGTGGGAGCACTGTTGATGATGAGCTTTGGTTTTGGCTTCGGCACCCGAGGTCGGGCTACACGCGCCTTCTTCGGTTCGCGGGTCGGTTTTTCTTCGTCGATATCAGCTTTTCGCTTTCCAGCCTTCGCGGATACGGCTCTGGTCGTTCCTTGGCTAGAACGTCCACTGGATTTGCTAACCTTGGTCTCCCTTGGAGCCCTGGCTGCGTCATCAGTATTAACAGAGTGGTTTGCGGTATTTGGAGCTGTGCTCATTGCTGTTCGTTTCGCCTTGATGGCCGTCATAGCAGCTGCAGTATTCGCTGCCTTCATTTTCTTGCCTTTGCCAGCAGACTTAGATACACTTTTCTTTGGGGGCATCATTAAGAAAACGCGCCACGAGCTGGTTTTTTAAACCCAGTATGGAAAAGGCTATACAAAAGAGAGAGGGAGAGAGATGTTTATACCAAGTAGTACAGAGAGTCAGATGGAAACGATTAGATCGAATGAAAGATAAGCTAGTGCTATACAGTATCTAGGGACAATATCACAGACAACACGCTTTCAATTGAAATGATTGTCTGTTGAGGAGCTGGGAGCGGGTTTAGAACCTGGGGTATTCCACCCGTGACTGTTGTTATTGTTACTGTTTTTAGCTGAAGGAAACAACAGCCCAATGTAGTTACTGGTACACTAACAACAACGACGACAACAACAACCTAAGTCGGACTAGTTCACGTAGCAAGCAGGGTGCTCAAAGCACTGTACAGTACATAAGCAACATATAACTGGTGAGCGAACCAAGAAAGCTTGAAAGAGCAAGTCAACCATACTTTTCTACTTTCTGTAGTCTCCCATCTATAAGGCATGTCGGCGATATGCGAATGTCGGTCAAGTGAACCACAAAGTTGTTCCAGCAACTTCTGTCATTTCATTGTGTGTGAGAAATGACGGTTCTGACAGCAGTGTCTTTGTTTACGCTCTTCTTACCGGTCATGTGCCAAATATGCTTCTTTTCATTATAATCAGGGCTCAAAGATAACTAGCGTGGCTCTTACTCAAACATCTGCATATGCATGTGGCCCCTACCTCTAATGCGCTTGCGAGATGTTATTAATAGCTATCGTATTATTATTATTATTATTACTACCACTACTACTACTACTACTACTACTACTACTACTACTACTACTACTATTATTATTATTATTATTATGGGCTCAAGGGTTGAATTTAGATGATCTGTTCTATTCATGAACATTAACATTGACTTTATATGTACCGTGCAAAGGGATGTAGTACTGTGTCAACAAGGAAAGGACCAGGGAGTGGCAGATGAAAGGGGCATAGAGGGAAATAAAGAGAGAATGAGCAGGAAGTAAAAGAGCCTTTTTATCCCTGAATGCGAGAAGTAAGGGGATTCTCTGTGCGGATTCTGCCGCACATAATAACGTTTTGACCCAATGGTGTCCATCTCACATCCTTGGGATTTAATGCCGCGTTCGGCTTTCCTTCTCCGTCGCGCTTAGAGTCTGGACTCACGCTCACTCCACTAGAGCCAAGATAAGTGGGGGCGACAGTCACAACTATGGAATCAATAAAATCGGCATACTCGGGATTTAACAGCTCACTCAAGACAGTTCCTCCGCCCTCAATCATGACACTCTTGATACCCTCGGATGCCAAAGCGCGCAGAATGGCTTCCCAGCGAAGGCGCCAATCCTGATTGTATTCCATGATTCGAAGAAAGTCGCCCCCATAGCCTTTGAGCATCACCAGTTTTTGGGGGTGAATGCGGGCTCCCGGCGATACCACAACCCATGGTGCTTTGCCTTTACCATTCACTGCAGTCCTCAGCATGCGGCACTCGGGATGAATGGGCCATCTACCGGTGGGATCAATCACCACGGGTCGCGGTTGCCACATTCTCCCCAGGCCGCCGTAGCCTCCTGCCCCTTCCAATCTACAGTTCAAGCCCGGGTTGTCAGCAAGGACCGTCCCAACTCCAATCAAGATAGCATCGTGACGAGATCGCAGATAGTGCGTCATAAGCTTAGCTTCGGGTCCCGAGAGCACTGTCTGCATGCCTGGAAGAAGTGAGATTTTAGAGTCCATGGAAGATGCGTAAGATAGGGTGACATGAGGAAATGGGCGCCGCTCATCGTGCTTTGGGAGATAGGGTCCGAGGAACTCCAAGGAGAACTGAGGAAATGAAAGAGTGTCTGGTGGTAACGACGACTTCGGGGTCGTACTCGATAGAACCGGACTGCCGCCGTTGCTTTCATTTCCCCCTTTTCTCACGATTCCATGGCCTTTTTGGTATTCATAGCCATCATGCGGTACGAGTTTCACCTCGGGGTTCTGGATTCTCCACTTTGCTGAAACATTGCGCACATCTGTCACCGTGAGGAATTTGCCACCTGCCTCCTCAAGCTTCGCAGGTGCTTCTTTGAACTTGGTATAGATGGAAGATGGTAGATATCCCTTCACTGCTTCCCTTCGTGCAAACTCCATGAGCCCCGAATTTCGCTTCACCTTATCGATATAATCGAGGTCATGCGAGTGCACACGGCTACTTCCCGGAGTCCTCGCGATGGTCACAGTTGAATAGGCCCCTTCAAACTTCACCACTTTGATCTGGAAATTGCAAATGCCACCCTCTCGCACCCTTTTCTTTCGGGGCCGTTTTCCTTCGGGCAGAGGCCGTGTCTCTGATGTGCGATGAGTTGGACGTCGCAATCGACACATATAATAGTCCGTAGTACAGTGTCCCTCTTTGCTGGAATTAGACCTTTGTTTTACCCACACGTTATCAATGAACGGCCAGTAAGTCTCAAACTCCTCAAGACTTATCTCTATAGGGTCCTTGCATTCGAACATTACTCGTCGAATCCTGGAAATGTTGGGGGGATTGTTGATAAGACAGTCACATTTGGGCAAGCCCGAATTTTGCGACGTGGGTGTGTCGCCAGAATTGGTGCTCATCTCTCTTGATGGGAAAATCGTGCTGCTCTGCAACGCGTGGGCGTCGGGGCTCGAAGCGGTCCCATTTTCTCTAGCACTAACAGCTTTAGGCGCAGCTTGACTTCCAAGAATCAGGTTATCTGACACGTTGCCGACTTCCTGACCACCGTGGTCATCCTCTTCACAAGATGTAACCATATTCGCGATTGAGGGCCCTCCCCCTTGATATTCCGCTTGAGCCGAAACCTCATTATTCAACGGTTCATCCTCGAGGCTGGATAGTGTAGACTTCGTAGTCGTGTCAGATGCGTCATCATGGTCATGTCCCATGTCGGGCACTGGACCCTCCTCGTCTTAAAGGTTTCGTGAAGAAGGGTGTATGCACAGGGCAATGTTCTTAGGTTGCGCGATGCAGCATATATCCATGATGGAATTGCGAATCACTTAGTGTTGTGTGCAAGATGAAGGCTGATACGACATTATGCCTGTCCTCTCTCTGGTGTTCATTCACTTTCGAGTATCTGGGATCCAACTGCGAGTTTAGTAGTAGGCTGGTTGCTGCGAGTGAGCGGGTTGGAATGATCGAGGCGGGTCTAGGTCTTGGCGTCTAAGCTTTAGTTGCGGGAAAGCACCGGCGCATGGCTTACTCTGTGGCTAATGAAGTTTGTACGTACTAGGAAAAACAAACATGCGTACCTCACGCTGGCCAAACAATATAAGACGCCAATGTGTATCTTCGGGATCTCTAATCCTATCTGAAAACTACGAGGTATTCTAAGTCGGCAAAAGCCTAGGAACAAAGGTCAAATGAACATGAAGTGTGCATCCCAGATTCCATGGGCAGAGGGGCATCTTCTTAATATGCTCCAATCTCAGCCCCAGCGCGCGCAAGTGTTTCGTACACTTTAGGCGGGAGCTTGTATTTGACCATTCCGGAGAATACCATCAAGTCTTTAGCCATGACAAGCAGCTCCTCAGCTAACCCCTGTCTGATCTCATTCTCGTATGCACTAGAGCCAAGACGGTCACGTTCGTGGCCGATGCAAGTGATGCTCCACATAATGATATGACCGATATTGTGGGAGATTATGGCAGGGAACGACGAAAAAGCTTGAGCAGCACTTCGTACGTAGGGAACAGAACCTCTTGCCCGTAGCGGAAGCAGGTTAAGGTCATTGATAGCCTACGAATTGTTAGTGTCAGCGCAACAACGACTATGAGAGCTGATGAATAAGGGTTGATAGTATGGAGGAAACCTACATCAAGGGCAGGAGTCCAATTTCCTGCTTCAACTTCTGCCTTCGCCTCCATCATCCGAAGTAACAACCCGCAGGAGTCACGATTGACTTGTCGGATCCGTTGGTAGTACAGGGCATTGGCGTTGTATAGACCGATCATGTTTTTAGCTAAAACAACCGGATCTTCCACAGCAGTAAGGCTGAGACTACTCCCGGGTTCGAGCGGAGATCCCTGGGTTGAACCATGACTATCACTATGCAAATTAGCCCGGGGTCTCAAAGGTTGCAGCTTCAGCATTGGCCCTCCTAGATCTATGGCGACAGCATCGGAAAGAGCTCGGTTTATGATATCGATGACGCGGTCGTAGTCTTCGGCAAGGTGGTATAAGAGAACCGCATCAGTGGTCAGCCCTTTGTCGTCAGCAATAGCCGCTGCTTGTACCGTTATTGTCTTCAGGAACTCTTCTTGGTCGACAAGTTGGATCAAGCTGATTCGCTGTTCGATCAAACCTTTGATCCTACTTCCGTCACAACGTACATCACCCAACAGCTTAGCAAAATCTCTGGTTTCCAGAATGTATTCTCGCAAAGCCTCGTGACACACAGCTGCTTGAGATTTACCCAAGGAACCGGGCAAGTCGGCATTGAGGCACAGTAAAGAGAAGTAATCGATCGCTGCCTCAACATATGCTGTGCGGAACTGCTTCGTGTAATGCGTGATGAGAAAGGCGAAATTAATCTGTGGGTATTGTTTGACAGTGTAGGACACTATCTTCGTTAATAAAGGAGCCAGCAAGGTAAAACACTCCAAAGTGTGCCACTTACGCAGTCCTTCGCCCGATGTATAAAAATCGGACACGCGGAGTAGGCCATAGTATGCCAAAGCAATGGCAAAGTGTACTGCACTAACTGGAGCATAAGACACAAGATATGAGATAGCTTGCTCAAACATGCCTCCTAAAATCTGCAAGAGGAAAAAGGTTCCGTAACCACCCTGGCTGTCTTGACCTTTGCTAAAGAGCTTCTGGCCAATCTCTGCGATATCGGTCTGGATGTCTTCAAGTCCGAATACATCACCTGCAATCTCCTCCGCGCGATCATCTTCTCTGGCCAGGATAAATTGCAGCCACATCCAGTCCTCCACTTGTTGGTTGATGCCGTCTAAGCGTCTATGAGTGAGTTCGCAGCGCCCAATAATCTTGTAGCATGCCATGCGATAAGGATCGACAGTGTTATCGGGGGCATTTCGCGACCGCTGTTGATACTCTCCGTTGATTTTTTGTTGCAGGTCCCTCGGCAACCGCCTGTTCTGGGCATAGGTTGTCATATATGTCACAAATTTGTGATCTAAGGAGCGGAAACCTGGATCTTGGCTAACGTACTCTGCTGCTTCCGTGACGAATCCACAGCGAAGGAGATAGAAGATAAGAATCCAGCAATAATCCTCGCCGACCATTTGCAACTCGGTTCCGTCAGGGGCGAGGTCTCTTCTTGCGGCCCTGAGCCTGATATAAGCCCTGATCTTGTTGACCACGGTTGGGATGCCACCGAGTTGTGCTTCTCGGGGATTTTTCGCAATCGCACCCTCCACATCAATATAGAATTGCTTTTCGAGGTATGACCGTGAGCCCTCGATTATACGATTCTTGAGATTGTTCGCTTTGCGTGAGGTTGGCAATTCATCCAAATAGTCCGAAGAAAATTGTCGCTCCCTCAATGCGGAAGGAGCCGAGATATTCATCGCTTCTGGTGACTCCCCAACAATACTGATTAAGGCTTTATAGCCATCATACATTTGCCGTGGAACCTAACGCAAGTCAGCAATAGATTGAAAATTGGATCGCGCGGACTTACGTCACCACCTGCGCGCTGCTCAACGTCAGAGAAGTTGTATAGAATCGGAAATGTCCGAGATTGGAGTCTGGCCGAATTCAGCAGCTGTACTTTCTCTGCATAGTAGCCTATCTTCTCCCTCAGAAAACGAAGATCAGAAGAGTGACTACCCGGACCATCGTTGCGCTCCATCGAATCTTCAAATATCTGAAGACCTGCCGCTCCAGTCCCCGGCATTCCAATGACCGATTTATCCAAGCCGGAGCGCCCAAAGACACTCCGACGCGAGGCCGAAGCAGGATCATGGCCAGACGCAGTATTGAACTGCTGTGCCCTTTGGACTGAACGGCCAAACGTACTTTTCCCATCCTTAGCATTGTCGTCGTTGTGTGTCAACCCGAAGTGTTGAAATATTTTTCGCCGCTGGTCTTCCCAATTCAGGTCGAGTTTCTCTTCCAGAAACAGGTCAAAATCTCTTTGCGTGCGGGCAAGGCTTTCCGTTATCATGACTTGACGACCACGCTGCTGTAGGTTCCTTAGGTACTTTTGATTGTCAGGATCGAACGTCTCCTGCTCTTTAGGAGTCACCGATAGAGAAGCCTGGGGATCTAGAGCTTTGAGGTCCCGTAGCGCGTGACCAGGAGAGACCCCGGATGCAGCCAGCATATAGTGACTGAGAGCCATGAGTATGTCATTTGAAACGCAATGAGAGGTGGGGGAGAAGGTGGGGAGAGACAGCTTACGCCCTGCTATTCGCTGCATATTGTTGTCTATTGTTGGACTCTTTGGTACCAAGCTCTCGCGCCTTTTTGCGGATATCATCGAGACCCAGTTGCAATGTGGGCAACTCGTCGAAATTGCTGTTCAGACCGATCGCGGAGAGAGGCCTCTTTTTGCCGCGCTCGAGTAGGCTGTTAAAGAAGGCGGGTTGCGTCTGATTAGACAACTGCGCTGCTTGCGCTACACTAGTCTGTGTTGTATTTTGTCCGAATAAAGAGCTATGGGTGAGTTGCGGTTGTGCCTGCGGTTGCTTTGCAAACAGGGATCCGCCTGAAGGCGTTTGTGTTGCGGGCGTGTTCCCAAGCATACTTGCTGGGTTGTTCTGCAGTGAATTTGCCGGCTGTGTTGTAATCCCTACGCCAGCGGCCCCAAATAAGGAGCCTCGGGTCGTGGATGTCATCGAGAGAGCTTCGCTGCCGTAGTAAAATCTATGCGGGAAGGAGCAAAAGGCTTTGAAGGAAGTAGATCCGCGATACTGAAATGGCCATCAGTTTTAAATCCCAGAACTTTGGCTACACTCGGAACTCAAAGCAACATACCAGCGTTCGTCTTCTGGCGGGAAGTTGTTCCTCTTTGGTCACTCTGCTCCGTTGCCTTTCACAACGTGATGTTTATAGCAGACTTCTGGCTGGCGATTGCTAGCTAGGCTTGGTGGAGATGGCGGACTTTCGTTTCGCCGAGGAACCTCTAGCCGCCCAATAACTACTTCCCACAATCTGTCAACGGTACGGCAATAAGTATGTAGCCTTACAGCTGCCGCAGCGTCCATGTATTATCCAGAGGCCAATTTGTTTCCGCGTTCCTACCTTGACGACTCAATTGAGACCGAAATTTTGTCAATCTTGAGATTAATATCAGAATGCCCGTCTTCCAAGCCAAGAAATTCCGGCGTGCAACAACCGCCTCATCAACCCTAGGGGAGCGAGTCGGTGCGGCATATAGATCCCGTCTTCCCCGACATCCATTCCTACTGTTTGGCTTTCCCTTCATCATGATCATAGTCGCAGGGTCTTTCGCATTGACACCGGCTGCCGCTTTGAGATATGAACGTTATGATCGCAAAGTAAAACAACTCAGCCAAGAGGAAGCCTTTAATCTGGGTCTCAAGGGACCGGACGGCGAGGAAGGCATAAAACGAAACCCGCGAAGAAGGATCATTGGAGACGAACGGGAAGAATACTACGTTAGTGATCATCTCCTTGTCGCATAGACCTGCAGAAGTACATGACTTGCTGATTTGCATTCAAGAGGCTTATGGCGAAGGACCTTGATGACTGGGAACAAAAACGTGTGCAGCGCTTCAAAGGTGAACCTGATGGCAGGCTTTGAAGCCACTGACCTCAGATTTGAAGAAGTCACGAATCCCAATGCAATCACAACATGTTTTGGTAACACCTTGTTATTCCCATGAACTCAGCCATTCTACATCGAGCCCCCCAGTCAGCATAATCCCACTTCGTCACAAAAATGGACGTAATCCTTGCACTTTTGGCTATCTCATACTTGTTGGAAAGCCAGCCAACCATTTCTTGCCTGCTCTCGATGCGTTTGCTCAACGATTACGTGCCAAAAAGTACCCATGGCAAATGCGGCTTCACAAAAGCCGACCGCAATGAAGCATCAATTACCTGGCCCTCAAGAACACCTTCAATATTGATAGACATCTCGACTCGGCTGTGCATTGTCAGAATGAAGGGCCTAAATGAGGCGAAGCTAGTGGGCACCAGGAATCCCCCACCTTGAGACTCCGACGACGAGGAATTGAACAGGCTTAACAAGGTGTCGCAGTTGAGACAGGAATCTTATATTCATCCCCATCTTTGTTCATAAATCGGTTGACCAACAGCCTTATAATTGAGCTTGAAATCCTCCAAACAGTCGCAGAGGTCTCCTTTTGCTTTACTATGTATGTATGGCTGTGGCGACGACGCGCTCATGAACAAGACTACATTGTGTTGTCATGCAAAATTAAGAATTCGCCTCGCAAGTCTGATGCGAGAGATCATTTCATTAAATGAAGATGGTCGAGAAGTGCTACACAAAGGACTTCATTACGATTTTTGATAGCGCACTCAACATATTTTCATTCTAACATAGTCGACTACAGCTGCTTGGTCCTGTGGGTTCCTCCTTCCCTTTTTTCTGACTTTTCGGTCTCTTTCTTCATTTCCCAAGCTGCTATCAGTACGTAGCCACAGTCGCGGGTAGCGAGTATTCTATACGATGTGGTACAGATTATTGAGCCCCTGTTGAATTCTATATGCCCACGTAGTAAAGAAATTGAACTTATATCCAATAAACGTGAAATATGTCTTAGGTAAAGTTGGACCAAAAGATAGTGGTGGCTGTTTGCACCCTCTTTACATCTCCCTTTCCTGCTTCACATACAATAAATGCTGCATGCTGAATTTTGACAGCATCGCCACGCTTCAGTCGAGTTCCTGGTAGATCAAGAAGATCCAGACCGGCCGCCGCCGCATGGGTTTGAGTCTTTCTGCACACGTGCCGTCTTCCGACCCTCTGCCACCCACCCTATAACGTCATATCCCAGAGAACAACATCGTTCCCTCCGTTTCCTTTGCCCTCCATTCGCTCTTCCGCACAATTCGCTCGGCTGTTGACCCCCGACCCCCCCCCTTCATGCTCGAACAATGGCAGTGGATCAGTGATATCAGCCAACAGTGACCACCTCCCCTCCCCTTCCCCCACTTTTCCTTGCTCATATTTCCATTGGTCTAGGAACTTAACTGCAGTCGGGCGTGCAATTCCCTCCCCTTTAGCTGAGACCTGGGATTCCCCGATTGCGAGGAGTCAAAATTACTTACCTACCTACCTTTACCTTCTGCCGGTCTTCTCGCCCACTTCTCCCCATGGGCTTTGTCTTCCTTTCGCAGACATATCAGCTTGAAAATCTCCGTTACCTCTGTTTAAGCTTCTGATTAATCGCTGCTTCACCAACCCGCTTGTCGGCTTCTCAATTCATACTCAGCTGAAGCCGTAACATTACCGCCTCCTTCCAGAGTTTGCCAGAGTTTGCAGCCAGCCCATCTGGACCCCAGTGGGCATCATCTGCCTTTAACGATCTTGTTCGCTCCGCTGCTTCGCCAGTTAAGGGCCAGGCTCTGTACTTCAAGTATCCAGACCTCTAGACAATAACGTCAGTCAAGTGTACATTTGCTCGCTGGGTCATATGGTGTGGAGCAACTAGTTGGCAAGTCTGGGTGGCTGGTGTAGGCAACACCACTCCTCGACTAGACTCGACTGTCAATCTGCTCACCAGGCTAGATTTAATATCGCGATGGCAAAGCAGGTTTATATCTGATCACGAACCTCGACTTTCCGGCTAGAAAGGCAGACTGTCACTCTCTGTCTTGACATAGAATCATGTCGGCTATGACAGGCTCAAGGTCACCTACATCTCCTTGGCCGTCAGAGTGCCAGAATTTGCAGCTTGACCACCCTGCAAACTCAACATCATTTTTCTCCTTTTGTGATACTAACCCTTCATCTCATGGACCTCCCGGACTTGGTCCCTCGAGTACAGTCTTAGAACGTTCAGGACCTGATCATTTCTCAATTAATGTGGACAGTCCGGGCAACTTTGGGAACATTGGAGAAGCAGTACCACATGCTCATTCTGCATTATCTTATCCAAGAATTCACCTTGCAAACAATATAAATCTCGATAACAACCTGACTCTTTCAAGAAGTGGACTGGCATTCAACAATCACTTGAAAGAATCCACGAGCCACGGGAATCCACGGAGCCGAGACCTAGTGGTCACAGGTGCCGTTGCACCTTCAGGACAGATGACTTCTATGGACGGGCGTTCCATCTCCCTAGATGAATGTGCAGCGCTTCTCGAATCATCTGATCGTGATATTATGCTTCTAGATGTTCGACCCTACGCGCATTTCGCGAAAGGGACTATCGAGGGGTCTCTCAACCTTTGCATACCGACAACACTATTGAAGCGCCCTTCATTCGACACGCAGAAATTAGCGAATACTTTCACAGCTGATCATGATAAGAAAAAATTCGCGCGGTGGCGGCAATCCCAGTACATAATCGTGTTTGATGCCGCTACATCTGACATGAAAGATGCAGGGTCGCTAGCTAATGTGCTGAAGAAATTCACCAGTGAAGGTTGGGGAGGGGAGGCCCGAATTCTACTTGGGGGCTACAAAATGTTCTCATCTCGTTTCCCTCATTTGACCAAGCAACAGCAGCTTCCAGCTTCAGGAGCGCCTACAAAGAAAACACCCAGAATGCATATTGATCTCCCTTCGGCAGCTCCAGTCGCAGGCGGATGTGCTCTCCCCGAGTCATCCCATGCGGCGATACCTTTCTTCGCCAACATCAGACAACACATGGATCTCGTTGATGGTGTTGGACAGATACCTCTACAACTCCCTTCTGATCTTACAGAACTCAAGAGACAACAACTCCCACCTTGGCTACGCGATGTGTCGGACGCCTCCGACAAAGGTCGTAAAGTTTCCGAGAGGTTTTTGAAGCTTGAGAAGAGGGAGCTCGAACGCATGAAACGAGCGCTGTCTTATAATAAATCCGACGAGTCCGCAGCGATTGACTCCTCGCCAGAAAGGTATCGCGTTGCCGGTATTGAGAAGGGAACGAAGAATAGATATAACGACATCTATCCTTTTGAACATACTCGAGTGAGACTCCAGAATGTCCCTCCTGGTGGCTGTGACTATGTGAATGGGAACCATTTAATGGCCGAAAAGAGTGGTAAAAGCTATATCGCCACCCAGGCCCCAGTTCCGGATACCTTCGATGTAAGTGCGATATGTAGTCTCTTCCCTCTTTGTCATGTCCCCGATGGCGAGTGTGGTTGGAAGTTTTGCTCATTATGTCTTTAGGACTTTTGGCGAATGATATGGGAACAGGATGTCCGACTTATTGTTTCATTGACTGCCGAAGTCGAAAGGGGTCAGGTCAAATGTCATCCCTACTGGAAGTCAGGAGAGTATGGACAATGCCAGGTCAACAATTTCTCGCAGAAGTTGATCTACCTAAATTCTCGAGATGCACCACATATTGAGTTGGAAGGCAGCCAGTTACCCCCCGACGTGAAAGACGACCCAGGTAACCCATATATCGTTGTCAGGCACTTTGGCTTGTCACATTCAGCATACCCATTTCAGCCATTGCGAGAAGTCACTCAATTGCAGTACCCACACTGGCCTGACTTTGGAACAACCTCGCAGCCTACACACCTCCTCAGACTCATCGAATATTGTGATCGGGTTCTCACTACAACGAATAGTCCTGTTCCCGTTACGTTCCAGAGACACGCAGTGGATCAGCGGCCGGTCTTGGTGCACTGTAGTGCTGGGTGTGGACGTACCGGCGCTTTCTGTACGGTTGACACTGTCCTGGACATACTGAAGCGGCGAAGGAGTCAAGGCACAGTGGACGGTTTGAATTCAAGGCTCAGTGAGAAACAATGGGATCTCGATGAGGGTCTCGACCTCATTGAGAAGACTGTGGACGACTTCCGCAGACAAAGACCCAGCATGGTTCAGAACCTTTCGCAATTTGTTCTGTGCTATGAAAGCGTGCTGGAATGGGCTGTATCACACATAGGGGAATAGAGTACGATTAGGTAATATTTAGTATCTCTTGGTCATCACTGGATGATGAAATCACAAGGGGTTCTCTTGAAATCATGTTGGCGTGGATGTTTATTATACCTTGTGGGCTGTCTTAATTGCTTTCATTCTAGACCTTGGTCGTCGTGTCAATATGTGTTGATGAAAGCATTTTCGGGTGTTGTTTTTTTATTTAGGTCTAGTTGATTATGATGATATTTTTCAAGCTGTGGCTCGGGAATCAAATTAATATTATAGATATACACAGGACATCATTTGAGATCAAAAATTATTGACGCATGGTAATTTCCCTCACTATCTTGTTGATGGAACTAAGATCTTGCAGGTGAAGTAATGTTCTATTAAGGATATATGTGATATTCACACTGAATCTGCATTTAGTCCAAGTGCCACCGGGGATATATGTAGGCGTTTCCCCTTAGTTAAAGGGCCGATCTCCCTTAGTGCTTCCGCATCTGAGTTCCATACCGGCTAAAATCTTAAATATGAGTCTTAAAATCTTGAACTGAGGTTTCTGCCTAGCAAAGAGCCGCGATTTCTGCCTCCGAGATAGTCCCAGGGAGTAACATATTTTGGCTGTGTTGTGGCTATTGTTATAACTTCCAGGCAGCAAGTGACTCTGGTGCCTTATGGGAGACAGGCAGACCCGCCAGCCGTGATTAATCATAGGGATTAATCAATCCTCTCCTTTTCAAGGAGCTTAATCCCTTCGATACGTCCATTCACCCGCTACCTACGAGTAGGTAGGACAGAAGCTTGAGTGCTTGCCTGCTTACTACTTGCCTTCCCCTCCCTCAAGCCAAACGCTTCGACCTTTGGTGGCCATGCTTCTGAACCTTCCTACGGAGCTCATACAATGGGTTCTTCGATCCTGTTCTACCCCAACTTTCCTACAGGCGGCAATGTCATGTCGAACCATGTATGAAATTGCGACTCACTGTCGAGAGGTCCTTGTGCACCACCTACAACGAACTCCGGGAGCTCTACCCGCAGACCTCCGTTCTATGCATGCGAAAGAGCTATTTCAACTGCTTTTGAGACAAGCATCACAGCAACTTTATGGTGCACAGTTTCATGCGGACTGTGTCACTTTCAAGCCCTGGACCAGCTCTCTTGACGTGAAGGCGTCTATATTGGTACCTAGGGAGATCCTGACGCTCGCACTTGTTTTTCGAGAACAAGATTGCAT